GTTGATTTATGTTTTTTTGTTTGTTATTTTTGCTTGTGAATAAAACAATTTCTCTATCATAACAACTGTACCTTGTGTTATTGTCCCGCATGCCCTTGTGTTGAATGTGGAAAATCTCTCGAGATAAAATTCAACGATACGGCGGGTAGCATACCGTTGAAAGATTAATCTGTATTTTTGCATTTCCACGATCGTGAACGATCTTCCGCTGTCGATTTATCTCGAGATATTTAAAAGACGCAGAGCGTAGCCGTTGAATAACGCTTGAAACGCAGTCATGTACAAGGAACGTACAACGTTATAAGCGTCGACTGCTTCGATCGAATGTGTGTTTATGCCTTCGCGATGAATTCTCTTTGTTTTTATTTATTTTTTTTTAAGAAAAACGAAGGCACTACCTAACACGCTCACCTCGCAACCGCAATCAAAATATTAGTTTACACGTTGACAATAGGGGGCGACCATAAAAACATGCGAGGTCACCGGCAAGATCGTGATAGCGAGAATAATGCATGGCGGTGCGGCTGATAGATCCGGCCTCATTCACGTTGGCGACGAAGTTTGCGAGGTCAACGGCATCAGCGTCGAGGGAAAGACTCCGAATTGTGTTCTTAAAATATTGGTAGGTCGCAGCTTCTATTTTATTCCCGCGACGTGTACTACTTTGCCGATCGATCTGTACGCTGCAGATTCCTCATCGAGATTTATCGCTCTTACCATTTATATCGCACGTAAGATACATATATGTATAACGACATGTTCTCTTTCAGCAAAATTCAGAGGGTACGATTACTTTTAAGATAGTGCCTGCCGATAGTAAAGGGGGAATTCGTGAGAGCAAGGTACGTCCTAAAATGCTAGGTTATTCGATCGATAATCGATTCTGGTCAAATAGGAAGGAATTTCTGACCGGCGATTTCCACTTCTAATATCGTTTAATATAGTTGCTGACAATTTTATGTGCATTTAATATCGTTATTGCAATTTTAATAGGTACGAGTTAGAGCGCACTTTTCGTATAAAGCTGCCGAAGATCCGTACATACCTTGCAAGGAGGCTGGACTAGATTTTTCGAAGAACGACGTTCTCCACATCGTCAGTCAGGATGATGCTTATTGGTAGGACTGGAATTCTCATTTCACCATGCAATCCATACATAGTACATTTAAATTATTTTTTATTGAAATTAGGTGGCAAGCTAGACGAGAGGGTGACCGAAATATGAGAGCTGGCTTGATCCCCAGCAGAGCCTTACAAGAAACACGAATTATACTTGAGAGGCAACAAAAAGAGAAGACCGACGACGACAATATAAGTAAGTGATAGCGTTTGCAACAGAGTATAGATAAAATACAACGCTTTAAAATACGATACTGTCCTTGTTTCCAAAACGCGATCGGATCACGTCATCGATCGTCGATTGTGATCCATGTAAACGCAGTGCAATTGGTGAAAGCGTTTCGGAAATTCTGACGTACGCTGAGCTACGATCGCCATCGTAATTTCATTTCATAATCTCTGTCATCTTATTTGCAATCTTTGATCTCATCGTCGCGTCTGAAAGTTACATCTTATTTTGTTACATCGTAATTAAGACATACGCCATCTGTTAGCAACACGTGTTTGGTAACCACGTACGATGTAAGATGGCGAAACAACTCGAGACGAGGATAGATTGCAATCCATCGTAGTAGAGCGTTAAATAAGAATCGTCGCCTCTAACACGGAAACAATCCACGATGAATTGATCTCGGCTGCTCTTCTTAACGAATGTTGGCCTGACGACCTAACCGTCGGTTAGGCTTGTGTTCTGTTCCAGTGCCTTTGCCCGCATTGTGCCCCCGTCCCAGTACCTCTTTACACGCCTCGTCAACAAAGTGCAACTTGCAGGGAGTAAAAACTAAAAAAATCATGTATGACGCTGCAGAGAACGACGATTTCGACCGGGAAGAAATACTGACCTATGAAGAGGTCGCAAAGCTCTATCCGAGACCGGGCCACTACCGACCGGTGGTTCTGATCGGGCCACCGGGTGTAGGCAGGAACGAGCTGAAGAGACGGCTTATAGCCACCGATCCCGATAAGTACAAGACACCTGTTCCTTGTAAGTTTTCATTCAGCTTCTCCATTATATCCACGCGTTTCTTGCTTTCCTCGTTTTAAAAGTAACTTTACTCAGCAAACAATCAAATAGCGTTACTTACTTTAATCGTTCGTTCTTTGATGAAATTCTCGTGACTGGCTTCAGATACCTCGAGACCACGGAAACCAGGTGAAATCAACGGTGTAGAGTATCATTTTGTTACTCGAAAAAAGATGGAAGAGTATATCGAGTTTGGCAAGCTTATAGAATACGGCGAGTATAAAGGCAACTTGTACGGTACCAGTTCCGAGAGCGTTAGCTCGTTGATAAACGCCGGATACGTGTGTCTATTGAATTCTCACTATCAAGCCCTGAAGATGCTTCGAACTCCGCAGACAAAACCATATGTGATATATATAAAGCCGCCAAAGTTCGAGATATTGAAAGAAACGAGGAACGATGTTAGAGCAAGATCGACTTTCGACGAAAACAACTCTCGGGGCTTCACGGTAAACTAAAAAATCTTATTGGCAATCGTGTGCATCCTACGTTTTCACCGAATCAACATAGGATTATCGTTCTACCGTTTGCAGGACGAGGAATTTCACGAAATCTTGTACAACGCTGCGAGAATCGAATTCCTTTACAATCATCTGTTCGACGAAGTGATCGTAAATGCCGACCTCTCAATGGCGTTCGAGCAACTGGTGAACGCTGTTCATCGAGTCGAGTCGGAACCGCTTTGGGTACCTGCTTCGTGGGTTCAATAAATTTCGCTTCAATCGATGGTTCACGGAGAAACAGAAGAAATCCTTGGGAACGTTGCACGTTCGATATCACGACGTTCGGCGGATGTTTTTCTCCAAATTTTCCAAGCTGTACTTTTTTAGCGAAGCGCGTCCCCTTCTTCCTCCTCTTCTATAGCATTTCGAATTGACGCGTATTCTCCATGAGACTAATATCGATGCCTTTTTGCCCTTAGATATTTATATACGTGTTTGATACGCGTCGATAGTTGTGAAACTCGGCTCGTCTTGTTTATTACATTGTTTTCTCTCTCCTTTTTCGATCCGGGAATATTACTTGTTCTTCGAATTATACGTACGTATAGATATATGTAGATATACCGCAACCGGTACGTAGCACGTAACTGGAAAGGAGAAAGTCGTTCATATTTTTGCAGCGATCTCGTTTTTAAGCGTTCGAATTAATCATTTTTCCACCTTGTTTTCTAACGTATCATCGGGCACGATGCGCGATCCTAGAATTTTTACTGCCACGAATCGAAAGCATCTCGCGGCGAAGGAGGAAGCATTGCTACGGGGAAATTTAAAAGAAGGCTATTGAAGAGAGAAATGGGTGAAACAGTGTTAAAGTTATTATGTAATTTTGGGATCAACGATTATAAATGGTAAACCTCACTGTGACGAGTCGAAAAATTCCTTCGAAATTTGGTAAATCGAAACTTTGAAATGTTAAGCAATTGTTGCCACCACTCGTGACCTTTGATCCCAGTTGTTGTTGATTATTGCCAAATAAGTATCGTATACCTAGAACACGATGAGAATCACCTTAAAGTTTTATTGTATTTTCCACCTGATCAGCATTGCCACGATATTGCTATTTTTTTCATGATTAAAGGGCTGCCAGAGCATGAGCAAGATTTATGCACGCTATACTCTACTGGCGTTGCATCAAATAGTTCATCCTCGATGTAAACTCTATATGTTATCGAAATACAGCATTACACTTTCAAGTACGTAGTATTGTCTTTTCCCCATTTTTCACCATTTCCAAGATCATTTTGCGCGTATCTTTCGGTCGATGATGTAACGATGACGTAATATATGTATATTAGCTTGCCTGTTTTATGCGACAGACAAAAATCAGAGTACCTTTGTGAAAGATGGCTTTGTCTTTAAAATAAAGAGTTAAGGCATCTGTCCGCTTTGGAATAACGAAAAAAAGAACTCTGGTATCGACATTAAAATCCAGGAAAAATCTACGAAACGACGAATTAGGACGTAAACTACGCCAAATAAATTGCATGCGGATAATTCCTTTCTTTTCATCGATAAGACGCGGCGTCACGAATATGCAGTCACAAACGCTCTCCTTTTTGCGCATCGTACTATATAAGTTCCTTTTAAAATGCTGTTTGTTCCTTGGCCATCAGTATCGCCGGTCAATAGCATAATCCTCTCATGAATATTTATATGCAAACTTTTGCGTTTTCGCGCATCGATCTCTGTCGATTCCTGTTTTTCAGCGTGTCTCAATGTATTGGGTTGGCGACTAAGTGATTGCGGATTTTGTTATTACCGCCTAATGACCTGTCTATAATCTAAAAAATATTAAGACGAGATGTTTTTATCTCGACATTTTAGGACCACGTATTGCTAGTTAAGCGATTATTTTACATTCCTAGGAAGATATTTGAAAGTGAACGAGCGCGCGCGCGCGCCTCAACCGGAAAACATCGGTTCGCGACAGACCATTTTGGAATTATATCCGTGTAATACGTAAGGTTTACCGCGAGTCGCCAAACTTCTTATATAGGATATCGTAAATACTATTTTTGGCAGTCTTGGTTTTCTAATTGAACTTGAATCATCTGAAGTTGCGAACACGTGTGTGCGTCCCATCGGATGGCCGCGCGTTACCGTACGTACGAAAATAGATCGAACGAGGAGCTAGGAAACTTTCAACGGACTTTTTTTCGTTTCATCTTGAAAATTTTGTAGCCAGTAACGCTCGGAGCTGGCGACTAATTAATGAGAGACAGGGAAATATTTGGCAAAAATTATTTCACAATTGGTCCATTATATTTCGTTGATTATTCATCGAGGAGTAACACCTGGCCTAAATCCGCGGCTGCGCGGATCAGGCAACGTGCGATACGACTGCCGTGATACTTTCAGGGTGAGGGTGTGAATTAAACTTTGGCCCAGTATCCAATTAACCCTTATGCGAACAGATTAGTTTGAAAAGTTGCTCGATGGGATTAACGGCGCCGCGGATTATCGTTCTTCTTGTACTTTCCATACGCGATCGACCACTACAAACGCGATACTACTCCACGTTCGCCGAACTTTTTCCAAGAAGATGTGCAAATATTTTCCACGGAATTTAATAGCGAAGACAAGGTATACGGCGAGGGGCTTGAATTTCAAACAGCGAGAAGATCTCCGTTGCTTATACCGTAAATCGATAAGCACGGATGAACACAGGTAGGTGAATATTATTTGAAACTGTTCTTAAAATGGCACAGAGAACCAGTAAATTCGCTGTTACACGAGCGACGTTAGATAACGCAAGATATAGCGCAGCTGAATATATTCTTCTCTTACCATCGATAGATACGATAAAAAATTGGAGTATACGAGAATTCGGGAAATCGAAGTTTACAGATTTATACAGGATTTACCGATCGTACGTTAGAGTTCTCCTGGTTTTTGTAAACAGATACTGAAATTATTCGCCGCGAAATAGCTCGTCTATTTGCTGCACTTCGTCGTGGACCAAAGATCGGTTAACAAATCACAGTTGCGATATCAAGCAAGAAATTTATCGAATGTCGGCAGTTTGATGTCGACCTGGTTTAAAATTAAACCGAAGCCGGTCAGTAGAGTATGGAAAAGAATGTTGTTGCGTAGAAAGGAAAACCGATGCATGTAAGCGATACGTTAAGACTCGCACAGGAGAGTTGACAAAGGTTCGTCAGCGAGGTCATTATCGTCTTCGAAATGTGTCAATGACACAATGTCGCGCGTGAATTATCAACGAAACATGATCATAATTTTTGATTATGTCGCGTGCATGCTGTCGACGTTGACAACCTTCGTCGGTTTGCCGAGTTCTCCTATGAATTTTCATTAATCGAGCGTTGCACATATTTAGAAAGTTCGATCCTCGACACAGCTGTTTATGAAAACCACTTAGCTGTTTCTAAAATATCTGATAGGTAGGTCGTAGTCGGACGGAGTGTTTCGTTTCACGAATCTTCTGAAATCCTTCGATGAGATGGGCTCGTGTCGCTCTAACATTTATGTGTTATATTTCCGTCGGCGAGATTAAATTACCGAAACTGGCAAGCAACGATCGTTACTCGCCGGTGTATTTTGTTCTAATTAGTATGCATTTTCTTATCGTTGTTAGGCATTCACCTGAATCGTGGTATAAAAGAATCGGCTGAATTATTAACATGCAGGCCAGATACGGGCCGTAAATATTCCCTCGATACCATTCCATTTTTCCGATACTTTGTACGTAAAAAAGCCTTGTAATCTGGTACTTGTGCTAAAATAACTTGGCCGCCATATGCGCTCTTTCAAACGGCAGATAGGGCAATAATTTTGTAAAATCGATAAACAGTTCGGAGCCGAGCGATTTTTCGACCATCGGATAATCGATAGATTCTCGTGCATAAGAGAATTCAAAATATTGGCTTAACGCCAGAGGCGACGACGATAAGCCTGTCGGGTAAATGTAACGCCGCCAAAATAAGCACGCGGTCTCCTAGCAAAAGAACCAGTGTACACGACTGAGAAAAGTTTGCTCAACGAGAGTGTCGCCGCTTGCCCCTCCGATACAAAACAGCATCTTCGATCGATAGGTTTAAACTTACGAATGCCGCTTTCGAAAACGTAAAACACGAAACTAACGTGTCGACGAATAGTCGAAGTTTCCATACCAGTTCTCGAAAATTGTTTGCCCGTAGCTTTTGAAATGTTCACCTCGTAAATAATATACACGTAAATATAACAGCTTTCAATACGGAGCATCGTAGCGAGATGTTACGTGGAATCAAAGACCATCGATCGACTTGACGTACCTTCATCGATAACCTGCTTTTACGATGCAGCCTATAACGACGATGACAAAGAACGAAGGAAACAGATCGCCAACGAACAACGCGACTTACTCCGCAAGAGTCTGCCTATCCAGTGGAATGAATTGCATGGTCGGAGACACTATGTTTCATCGTATATCCAATATAGGACGGAACGTCAATCAGGTGAGCGGTTTCTCTTTGTCCTTGCTTCCTTTTTTATGTTTCGCCTTGTTCCACGCAACGAAACTCGAGTGCCACCTAGCATAGGTTTCTGGTGTTTCGGTCTATTCGCACGTCTTCGAAAATCAACCGACTGTAATCAGCGATCGACTGATTTACGAGTCGTTTATAAACGATTCCTCTTTTTTTACGCCCGAATCTCGCCAGACGATTTACGCGAGTTTCGTTCCGAGAGTCATCGTTTCGTTTATACCTTTACACGTTGGAAGTGAACACGAGCGCGACTAAATGCGAAAATATGAAATGCAAACACGTTCGTCCGAGAGATCGCAGCCGGTTAATCGAAGAGAGAAAAAAAGGAGAAGGCGTAATGATGACCAGAGGCGACAGGTTGACGACATGTGCGCGAACGAACAAAAGTACAACACGCGTATTGCTCTCGCACAGCTCCTTCGATAGTGCGCGTACACGCGTCGACGAGCCACAGACCGACCGACGTAACGACTTAACCGACATATAAATAGCGTTTAGTTGAAACGGACGCGGTAGAACTCGCGTGCACGTCTTACGGGGCGATCCGGAAGGCACGATTCGTTTTTCAAGGAACTTCTCCTACTCCGAGTACTGACACTCGCTGTGCCGTGATCCGCGACACCGTCAGTGATTTCCGAGAGTTTCCGCGGGAACGATCGATTTTCAACACGCCAACTCATTCTCGCCCTCCTTTCTTCCAATGTCGGCTTAAACAGAAACAAAAGTTCTCCATTTTCTCGTAAGTCTTTCAACCTTTCTTATTCTCTCGTTTCCATTCAAACCATTCTCGCTCGTTAGATTTCTCTTTCGGGAAACCACGCTTTTAATTCACACCGTCTCGTTAACGAATTTTTTTTTCGCGAGTATGTTACAACGTTTACGTACGTTCGTACGTGTATTCGCTCGGCGAACGATATTCGTAGTATCCGAGGAACTACGAACGCTAAGCTGGTAATATTATACCCAAACAAATATCGCCACAATCGCGTCAATGTTACACGAACGTATACGTGCGTATCGACATTGTCGTTGCACATGTCTACGTGCTGGGCACTCGCCTCGTCTCCTCTTCATTTTCTTGTGGTTTTTATTTACCTGTTAGGACTAGTGCAGCTAGTTAAGATGAGTTTCAATTTCTTTCCTCGATATATCGCACGTACACTGAATGTTGCATGCTGCGAGCAACGTTCGCGCGGGGTACAAAGAGTCGTTTAATGCGCGAATGATCGAAATAGGACGTTGGTCGTATATCGGAAGATCACTGGTAGGCAAACGACGTGCAGACCGCGCGGTTAAAGTTCGATTGTTTGCTGAAGGGCAATACCTGTCCTGTGAACAACTACAGCATCGTCGCATCTAGAGGAGAGCTCGCTCGAAATAACTATGCGGTGAGAGAGACATCGTCGGCGCAGTGCATCGTTGTCAAAAGGAACAAGACGGCCGTGAATGCGGGTAGCGAAACTCGCCCCAAACTTCGGGACGACTTGCTCAAAGAACAGTCCTCGGGCAAACAGTTGTCCAAGGATTTCGCAGGGCCCACGGACTTTGGCAAGTCTCAGCGACCTATTCGCAAATCCTTTTCCGTCCCGGACTATCTTAGAGAAGGTACTTGCGTATCTAATCCATCGGATTTTCTATGTTCTATTATCAATCGGATATTCAGATATCTTAATTAGAGTGTTTAAAAAAGTGTTTAGAAACGCGTGTTTCAAACGATCGACGATGCGCGTATAGTTTCGTTTATTCGAACGTTCCGCTTGGTCGAATCGATAATTGTCTATCGTCATCGAACGCGTACAAAGTGGAAGAAATATTTACGAAATTCCTGTCTTCGCAGGTTTTCCAGCGACGCGGCAAGTTGATCGCAGAGGAACCGAGGAGAGCATTTTCAAAAGATCTTCCACTTTCCTGTCGAATCTCGCCCATTCTGCGAATAAATTTAGAGAGAGAAAGCTAAGCGGAAACTATCCCGAAGAGCGCACACTTTGTCCAAATAATCATTGCACCGAGAAAAGCTGTTCGGCCAAGCATCCAACTCTAAGGGGATACTTTTCGATTTTAAGTAGAGTCGCCAACGATCTCGATCCTTTCGAACATTCGTCAGGAGTTCAAACGTTGCCGGTGGAACGGAGGAAGAAAGGCGGCGCGCGCGTCAAGAAATCGGTGTCCTTCAGTTCGGATACGAGTTTCGAAGAGAAACGCGAACCTTACAAACGAGCCGCCATACACGAGGCTAAGGTCTATCACAAGGGTGTTCTGCAAGGTACGCGTCTATCTCTTCCTTCTCTTCGTCTTATTCGTTTTATTTCCCTCGAATTTGTTTGCATCCGACCGGTACGGACTTTCCGATTTTCCAATCTTTCCAATCCAAACGTAGCAGATACGTTCAAAGTTCGAAGCTCGTTCGTCGTAACTATCGCTTTTTTCTTTGGGAATTCGTCAAAAAGAACGCGCACACACGCGCGATACACCGAATAAACGAAAGGAGAAAACAGAAATGCAGACAATACGACGCGATGAAAAATACACCGGATATACGCAGAATCATCGATTTGTTATCGGAACTCTACCTACTATGTAAATGATTATGTTAACAACTAACTCTCTGTTTAGCACTGATTTCATGAAAATGTTACCGATATTTTCCACTATAGTTTATTACAAATACGTCTGTCGTGGCTGTAAACTATCGAGGCAACGCTTACCCGACAGCCTATTTATTATCTTTTCTATTTTCACATCTTGCGAAACGAGCCGTTTGTACAAGTTTTTCTTACCAGATGTAAAACATTCGACTCGTTTCGCAGATCGTAGCGTGGCCGAGGTGAATATCGTCAGAAAAGTGCCGTCCTCGTGGGAAGTAACGTCCGAGGGCGCATCGGCCCTTCTCAGGGCAGCCAGAGATGCCGACGACGCAGCCCTCGATGAAATCGCTGCCCATGTGCGAAAATTTGGATTCGGAGACATGGACGTCAATATGACTGATAGCAGCGGCAGGGTAAGTTATTAACAGTTACTCGTCTGTAATAAAAAAACAAAAAAGATTCGTCGTATTTGGCTCGTTAACAATTTACAAGAAAAAGTGAAATTTAGTGAAAAAGATTTCAAGTATTTGTAAAGCTTCAGGATTTCTACGTCTATTTCCAATCGGGTTTGATCTCGCTATTTCGCTAGAAATATTACGAAACAGATGATATTCGTGTAATTAAGTAAACATTTTTTTACCTAGTTACATGCTTCAGCTTTTATCAACGTATCTCGTTGAATTTTGGTTATCGGTAATAACAATGTATTTGCAGAGGCACGATAAAAGTTTTGGCACTTCGTTATCTCGTATATGTTCTTTTCCAAATGGCAAAGACGGGATCATTGATTGAAGGTCGCGGAAAAAAGAGCTTCCTCATTAGATATGTGAGGCGTGACGCGTTAGAAAGAAGTGACGCTCGTTGCTCTTAAGCATACGTACATATATGTAAATCGTGCGATTTTTTACGATCTCAAGACGTTTAAGTACAATTTAATATACTCAAGTTATGCAGTGCGTTAGATCATAACGAAAATTCAATTTTTCCTTCAGTGGGAATTATTCGTAGCGAATAGACAGCAAATGAGACATCTACACGATGTAAAACGATACTAAGCTTACGGAACAATAGATTTTTGTCGTAAAGATAGTTTCGAAAAGCAACAGCTTACTTCGGAGGGAACTAAGAACTGTAGATGACTTGTGGAGGATTGAGGTTAGGTTAGAATAACGACAACTTGCTGTTGCGGCCCGTCGAATATATTTAAATTAAAATTAAATTAAAAACGATCGTTGTATCGAGTTGTGATTTCCAATGGCGTGAATCGCGGATTGCTGCTTTTTGTATTCCCTTAGCAAATAATCAAATCGGCCAGTGTTTAACATCGATCTCAATCGCTGTATTTTTAAACTTAGATTTTCATATCGATACGTATCAAGTTTCTAGTTACCAAATGTTCAACGTTGACGCGCTATTGCTAGCAAAACGAAGCTTCATATACCACTAAATCGCTACTGTTTTATAAGGAAATATTTTCTGAACGCGCGTGCGGTAAACAGATCGCACTGTTTTCGCCAGCTCGAGGAGCATCGTACGTTCTTTATACGAAAACATGTGCGAGTGCTGCTCCGCACAGTGTTTGCCATGGTGACGCACACGAAGTAATAGGTAACGCGTCAACGTCAGTAACCATTTAATAAATTGACTGTTACCGCACAGTCCTTTGTGCGCCTCTCCGAGGCAAAGAATACCGCGAGTAGGACAGTCGCCGGGCAAATCTCATTTTCTTCCGGAAAGAAGAACAGTTTTGCAATCCTTTTTCCAACGTGAATAACGTGGATAAGCGCGTTGCGGAAAACGGAAGCCAATATCGGTGAACGTGCGCGATCAGCGAAAAAAGGGAAAGAATGAAAAGTGATAGAACGAGACGTCCGGCGCGGCGAGGATGTTCCACGTCTGCGGTTGAAAAGTAAAATACGCGCGTTTATGATCGTTCGCGCGAGAAAGAATTTTATGTAAACGGCCACTTCGACAAGTTCAACTTATTTTTCGAATAAATCGATCAGTTTCGATTATTTCTTTACGATGCCAGACTGCCATCAGCTACATGGCGGGAAACGGTGCCGCGACCATGTTGGAGCTAGCTCTGTCGTACGAAAGGGTGGACCCGAATACTCCGGACAACGAGGGTAACACGCCTCTACATTTTGCCGCGCAGGCCGGTAAGTAATTTCGTTATACTTTAAAAAACGAGGGAAGGTGGTCGCGATTGCTCGTCGCGATTTTTTATCAAGATCCACACGATGACATTGGCTCGTACGGGAAAATTCAAATTAATCGACTCTCGTTCAGCGATTTGCTCCACGAACGAGGATATTCGAAGAAGATAAAATAAAATCTGTTACGCTGAAATCTTTCAAGGACAGCATCCTGTCTGTGCTCGTACTGTACGTAATCGGAAAAATGCAGCCACGTGGTGGACATAAATCTTGTAAATTCACAACACTTCTCCCATCGTTAGAAAATCTCCACTACTATATACATATATATGTGTATATATATATATATATCTACATGTAATACAAGTATACATACATAAACGGACGTCAAATTTTATGCTCGTGATGCTGTAAGCCGTAAGGGTTCTACCGCGTCATCGATACCAGAAATAACCCAGTGTTGGAGTACTTGAAACGCGCGTGGTTTACAGTGACGTACGCCGACGGACGTTTCAAGCCAAAACATGGTCGAACGATACGTTACTCGAAATACGCCAACTCTTGCAACGTCGCGAAGGACGCGAGCTTGTTTCGTATTCGACTTAATGACCGTCTCGTTTTGTTTGATCTAGGGCAAACGGAATGTTTGAACATACTGCTGCAGAGGTGTCCGGACATCGAAGTGGACGCGAGAAACGCATCGGGCTTTACTCCGTTGATGAAGGCAGCACTTCAAGGAAGAACCAAATGCGCCAAAATTCTCCTGTTCGCCGGTAAACAGTGTCATCTATCTTCATCTATCTTTTTTTTTTTTTTTTTTTTCAAAAGGTGACGGGTTAAGAAAAGAGCATACGGATCGACGCTTGGCTTTCAGGTGCGAATCCGACATTGAGAGACCAAGGGAGAGGATTGAGAGCGGAACAGTGGGCCAGATTTTGTGGAAGGTACGTGTGCGCTGAAGTAATCGAGAGGTTCGCGAGACATCGGCTCCTGGAGAGGTCAACTTCTTGTCGGTGGGGTAGTGAACCCGAACTGGCAGCGAAAGTACTCCAAGGGAAGGTAAAGATACTTCTAACGAAGACGTCTCTTACGATCGAGTAGGAACACCATGGAGGATAGCGAAAAATGTTGGTTAATGCGCAGGTGATGCCCATTCCAACCGCACCCCTGTCGCCACCATCTTCGGGATTCAAGTCGAAGATAAGAAAAGTTTTCCGCACGACATCCGGCCCAGACCGAAGTTTTTCATTGGTCTCTCAATTAACTAGCGCCGCTCTTTGTGCAAGTAGTCCAGCTCTACCAAAATCCAGCCAAGTTCCACCCGTGGTTAAAAGTCTTCTTCGACCTTTAAGCGTTCCACAGTTAAGGTGTTGGCTCTGGTTCTTTGCAAATTTCACGTTGCATACATTGCAAATGACAGACGCATTTATTTCTCGTATTCCGACTGTTTCAGGGTGACTCTAGTTTCGCCGCAAGATATTCTTGAACAATCAAAGGACAAGTATGGGCCCAATTTTACAGAAAAGATCGAGAATATAGTTGGAAAGCCTTCGCGATCGAAGAATAAAAACAAATAGATGTGTAAATCTCGTTTGCCAATCATTTTGCGGATAAACGTGCGGATAAAGATCGCAGGCGTCTTCCCTCCGCGAAAGAAATACATTTTATTGTATTTTAGATCGCCGTATTTAGGTGGTCGTCAATAGGATCTTCGATCTTTTTCCACTCATCCACTGGCTACAGTTCCTATCGATCAACGCTCATTCTAATTCTAATACTATCTATACTGTTAAAATCTTACATGACATTCTCGTTTCTATTAGACCAAAATACAAAGTGCAACTTTTTCACCTTGTAAACTTGTTTATAGAAACCGTATTGCGGAAAAGGGATTGCTACCTTTTGTAGATTATACGTATACATATATATCTTTCTTCTTACGTTACTTTGAACTTATTTTTGGCTTACGATCTGGGTAAACGTTACCAGAGTTTGGAAACATGTGCGGATAGACAAATTTTTTTTAACTGACTGTCACGAACATCAAAAGATCAACAAGAATTATGTACACTCATTCGTCGAATCGATGGGATAATTTTTAAATAATCTTAAATATTCTTCTATAGAGAGAGAGAGAGAGAGAGAGAGAGAGAGAGAGAGAGAGAGAGAGAGAGAGAGAGAGAGAGAGAGAGAGAGAGAGAGAGAGAGAGAGAGAGAGAGAGAGAGAGAGAGAGAGAGAGAGAGAGAGAGAGAGAGAGAGAGAGAGAGAGAGAGAGAGAGAGAGAGAGAGAGAGAGAGAGAGAGAGAGAGAGAGAGAGAGAGAGAGAGAGAGAGAGAGAGAGAGAGAGAGAGAGAGAGAGAGAGAGAGAGAGAGAGAGAGAGAGAGAGAGAGAGAGAGAGAGAGAGAGAGAGAGAGAGAGAGAGAGAGAGAGAGAGAGAGAGAGAGAGAGAGAGAGAGAGAGAGAGAGAGAGAGAGAGAGAGAGAGAGAGAGAGAGAGAGAGAGAGAGAGAGAGAGAGAGAGAGAGAGAGAGAGAGAGAGAGAGAGAGAGAGAGAGAGAGAGAGAGAGAGAGAGAGAGAGAGAGAGAGAGAGAGAGAGAGAGAGAGAGAGAGAGAGAGAGAGAGAGAAGGAGAGCGATGGAAAGATTCACTTTACGGTTTTTGAATTTACAAGATATAAACGTATCTTAAAGCACAAAGTGACATTTTTTTAATTACGCGATGATCGCCGAAAAAATTTATAAATAAATATATTGAATAAAAAGATTCGTATTATTTGTACGATATTTTTTCACTATTAAGAGCGAAAACAATCTTTCTTATTAAGGCAAATCAATACAGTACAATAGGTACTTACGTAAGTACATATATGTATGTATACAGTATTCGTATTACAAAGATAGAACACATCGTGCAAAATTTTACCTATACATGTACACGTTGTGTGTTTCGTATTTGAACGCGTAGTGCCAAATTTTCCGAATCAGCAATGCCTTGGACAAAAGAGCACGCTGCTATAATAAGAGATAACATGGTAAAAGGAACGCTTTACAACGCAGGTTTGTATGATCAATAAATACGGTTTGTCCCGTCGTACCTCGTCTTATTGTTAGTGGAATATTGTAAAAAATGTATCTTTTAGAATAAACATTTACGAGGCGCGCAATATCTTCTTAATACGACAAACCTTCGTTTATCGCTAATCTACGAAGTATCAAAATGATTGTCACAATAATTTTAGTTGATTTACAACGAATCTTCTCGATCTTGAAGTCAAAGTGTACGGTAACGTTAATAAACGAGTCATTCGGATTTTCTATTTCGACGTTGTCTGCGATTCTTAGCCTTTGAAAGAATTTCATACGCTTGCTGTATTTCCATAAACTTCTCCTGAGCTTGTCTCCTTTCCTTCTCAGTGCCCTTTATCTTGTCGGGATGATTGTCCCTCGAGAGAGCTCTCCAACGAGACGTTACCTCTGTTTGCGTAGCCGTTTGGGAAAGGCCTAAAATCTACAAAATTTGCATTCAGATGTAGTAGTTACATATAACGAGCTTCGAGGCGTACCTTGTAGGCGTTTATTTCTCCCCGAGGATCTGTGAGATCTATCAGTTGTGCCCATGTTGCCCAAAAGCCTTGATGTACCGCCTGATTCCAGGTTGCTTCGAGACTGGCCTGGAAAATTTCAAATTTTGCAAAACATCCAGTGGGTTGCTTCGATTAAGCACGTTCTACGTGATTTTAATTAACCTTAAGATCCAGCCATATAGGAGACGTTAAGAAGTGTTGGATAGCTTCCGATAGTTTAATCTCTTCACCCTCGCTGTCGGTGACAACGGCATTAAAGTATAAGAACGATCCTAGTAAAGACACGTAAATTGCGACAGCTATAGTGAGATAAAAAATCCTTTGAACGAAGTGTCTTTTCTTTCTTGGCTTTAACCTCCATTGCTTGCTGAACGTATCGAAGCCTAAACTAGCAGCAACGACCATCAAAAATATCCACATGCTGTCGTCTCCGATATAGGATAGCGTTGGATATAATAAATATGCAGAACAAAGAGCAATCCATATGGAACCCTGCTCCCTGCCTATATTCCCAACTATCCAGACACCTGGTTACGTACAATTTAAATACGATTTTAAATACAATTAAAGTAACAGAGAAAAGTTGGTTTGATTAGAGAATCGTTAACTACCAATATAATATAAAATACTGTGTTCGTAAAATTATTTCGTTAGATAATAGTGCATCGGTTTAAACATGTTTCCAATGCGATACTCGCATTCGTAAAAAACCTTATCGACTAATTATTCAAAGAAAATAAGGCGAAAAATGTGTGGCGAATGATAAGTCGAACGAAATTTAAATACACCGCAATACTTTTATCGTTGATGTTCTAAAATATTTCAACCGTTTACCTAAAGCAATGACCAATGGTGTCAGAATTAGTAAATGCTTAAAATTTATTCCAAACACTTCGTCCTCTGGAATCGCATTGCGAAATATTTCCGCCCAAAAATATGCAACCGCATTTTCGGTAGCGAATCGCACTGTCGAGAATGGCGGCTGAAATTAAATGACACGTTGCGTTAATATTATGCTTATACAATCGAAAATTTCTTATGCCTCGACTGTTAACAAAAGTATGCATTCTTTTTTGTCCCTACGATTAACCGTACTTCTGAATGCTTATTCAAAGAATCCCTAAAATCGATCGTCGATCGTTTTTAATGTACCTACCCTGCGATTGTTTCGAACTTTCTGCTTAAAATCATTCAGAAAGTTAGGATGATCATTTGCATCTTGGACATACGAGGGAATCCGATAGATATCTCGAAGCCATCCGAGACCAAGATATCCTCCCAAAGTGCTAAAATATATGAAAGCCTGTGCGTCTCGTTCTAGGTATATGTGATGCGCACCAACTAAACCTCCAAACATCCACAGCACGTACGTCCAAAATATCGACTTCTCTTTTTTCTTTAACTTTTTATTTTTTTCCTCTAAGTGTCCACCATTCTTCAGATCCATTTTTATTCCTTGCATTATAATCTAATTATGCATCGAGTTACACATTATACACGGTTTAACGATTAATACACACCGGTATTAAATAAAATACCTGAGAGTTAGATGCACATTGACGAGCCGGGTAACACTACACTACCGGCTTTGAGTTTCACGATTGCACTAACAGCTACGTGTGTATTATTTGCAACGTATCCTGGTATCATCGGCTATCACGTACTTCCTCATTATTCTCGCAACATGAATAACAAGTATAGTTAAAACAATAGCGATTTTTTACACGTTTACTGTGTCTGTCGATAATTAGTTCAACTTAATTGTTTCTTTTGTAAAAATAAAACAATTGGCTGAAGTGTATTTGTCGATATTGTTTCGAAAAATACCACAGGTGGCTTTACTACACTGATGCGTACCATTTGTAGTTCAACGCTCTGTCAGATATAACGGTACTTTAACAGGACCGTAGCAATGAAAGCAAACCCAAACCTCAAATGGATACAATGCGAATTAGCAATCGTAACAGATGATCGATTGAAATCGATTAGAAATAGAGTGATTACGAATTCAGATACGTACCAATTTGTAATTAATGATTTATTTTCAGAATGATGCAGCTTTGTCGTCTTGTACAAAGTAAATAATAGAAAAACAAATATATAACATATAAATAAAATGTATTTATTAAATTAGATAAGATTCTTATTTATTGTACTTATGTAAAAGGCTCGATTTGATTAAACGAAAGCTTAATTTATCTCCTTTGTTAATATGTCTTTTTTGTATTTCTCGTAGGTGTCAGGAATGTATGTGCAATATGTATTTTAATTCATATCAAGAATTCATGATACCAAATGTCTACGGTAAATATTAACAAGGATCGCAAAATAGAATGTAACATATAATTGTACGATCAACTTTTGATACAGTAAGCTGGAGAGAGAGAATTCCTTTTATTATGTTATCGAACCTTTTATTTATCGACGGATAGAAACAACTTCTTTTACTTAAAAATGAAACAATCAATCCGAGATATTACTTTCGATACTAATTCTGCTTGTTGAGTGAAATTATGCAAATTAAACGAAGATATTTTTTTATACATGTTCAGTATATTAAGCATACCCCTATATGATTTATTCTTTTCTGATTATTTACATGTAAAATACTCATTACGTACATTCGTAAAATTCCTTTTGTATATGGGTATAACTTAAATAAAACATTTGAAGAAACGGAGTGTGTAATTCACGAGCATTCATGTTCACAAATAAATTCCATCTTTGAATAAACAAACGTGACCATGACATTGAAATAAAAATCCCTAAGAGAAGTGATTCCCTATGTCAGTAATAAATTCCCTATATACCTAATGTTTATCTTACAGTCGCAATCATATAAAGGTCTTGACACTCTATACCGAAGTATACGAAAATTTGTTCGAAAATTGAGTCGTGAGAATTAAATATGGAAGACAAGGTTTTCGTTCTGCGCATGTGTAACATACTATGAATGTCTCAGATAGAGACAGACATATTCTACTTGTCGGAGATGGAAAGACAGCGGGATTTCCCATTCAGAATGTTGGGAAATCCCAATACACTAGTCCAGACTTTTACTATAGCCGCCCTTAAGTAATAAAAATAAGAAATAGTCTTAATGTTCCAATCTGATTTTATGACGATGGGTTTGGGCGCGAAGTGACATGGCAGGTCACTGAACATAGCCACGGTCACCAGAAGGGACACGTACCTGACAGAGGTATGAAATGATTATATATGGCTCTCCTTAAAAACAAAGATTAACCCGAGAAGCGAGGACAGGAGTATATAACGGCAGCCTCTTTTGGGTTAGCGGAGTTAATTAGTTTGTTAGTGAGTCGTTGGACGAATTGCCGATTGAGTTATCGGGAAGTTACCCGAATCGAGTAGCACGTTGATACTTGTCCTCCCGTGGACCGTGGTTTCGTTATCGAACCTGAGTTCGTTGTCATCATCATTTCCATATTCCTACTGATAAATATTGGCTACATTCGCGACGGTAAAGTAAGTAAAGGTTCATCGAACACCCCAAAATTCCAACCTGACTGCGACATCTATCTGTCTTGTACGAACGAGAACTTTGTCGTCGTCCATATTGATTTCTCACGACTCAATTTCCGAACGGTTTCCCCTAGCGACTGTCGAGAATTATATGATTTACTTCACCACACATCAAACTGCATTTTTTCATACGTTCGTTTGTTTAATATTATTATAATGGTAATATAATGGCCGATATAAACGGTGAACTATCTTTTAACAATTCCTCCGAAATGTTTAGTTAGCTTTAGTACAAAATCAAATTATTTTTTCAATTTCATTTATACATATTAAAAATTTTCGCATCGCCAGTCTATCACTCAATGATGTAAAAATATTAACAAAAATAGTATTTTATTATATAATTTCGTACATTTTCAACAGATAGGGATAATCCAGATCAGAGCTTCTCGTTCTAAATTCAACATGGCGGCGCGTACATGTTGTCTGCATTTCTTCATTGAAAATGGTTGTCAAACGCATGACAAATACGTTTCACAATTCCCAAAAATTTGTGATACTGTAATATCACCGGAAGTAGCATGAGTACAATTTCTTGTGGAAAATGCACAGTAATGGAAGGAAGTCGTTTAACGAAATATAGTCACAAAGAGTGGCGCAATATAGCAAAAAGGGAACGTCGGAGACGTCTGCGTCGCAAAGCGGCCGCTCAGCGAGAAGCGACCGAGGAACAGCTGAGGGCAGCACTTGAAAAAAGTGCGGAATATTTAAAATGGCTGGAACAGTGTGAAGTCGAGGACAAAGAAAAAGAAGCTCGGGAAAAAGAAGAACACGATCAACGGGAAAAATTATGGTTAGAGGAAGAGGTAAATATATAATAAAAGCGAAAAATACTATTTATGCAACCTTAGTGAATTTCCTTTTTAAAAGTGTACATTCTATTTCTTTTATTTGGTCGTTTTAATTTATGTAATCTATTAGCAAGCAATTGATTAACGAACGTATATGTCGAAATTACTTTGTTTTCGGAATCGATAGCATACGTTCGATTAATTATAAAGTTACTCGCAAGAATTTTCCACATGAGTTATAACCCTGAAAATAATGTTAAAATGTGGATACCAAAGCCTGCTAGTTACTACATGGTTCCTATAAACTAAACAGTCAAGCCTTAATAGTAAAATATATAGATAATACGTAACACTATGTTTCATCTCCCTAGGTGAAAGCCCAAGAAGAATGGCAAATTTTGCAGGAGAAAAAGCAAAAAGCTCGACAGTTACAATTGGAGCAAGAGGCGAAAATTCGTCAAGAATTTGAAACGAAACAGGAGGCTATTCGCAAAAAACAGGAAGAGGAGAAACGTAGGAGAGAAGAAGAAATTAAAAGGCGGGAAGAGCTACTTAAAGAGATCGACGACTACATCGATAATGGAATCAAAACCCCGGAGGCTTTGCGTGAGGTTATCGATAGTCAACCTGGTAAAGAGCTTTGTCCGTTTTTCACGAAGACAGGTGCTTGCAGGTGAGCAAATAAATCTTAACCTTTCAATCTTTATTAGATAAGCAGTTAAATAAAAGTATGATATCCAACAAGTCATATACGTATATGTTTGCAGATATGGTGACACTTGTTCGAGAAATCATCGCAGGGTATGTTTAAGTAAAGTCATATTAGTACCTGGTTTTTATACGCATTTTTCTCTGGAGAAGAATTCTGCGGAATACGACACTGATATTGCCCTTGAATTCGAAAGCTCGGAAACACGACAACATTTCCGCGAATTTTACAAAGATGTAGTTCCGGAACTGGAATCGTTTGGAAAAATAAAAACCTTGAAATATTGTTGCAACACCGAAGTTCACTTGCGGGGCAACTTATATGTCGAATATTACACCGAAAGGGAAGCTGCTAGGGCTTTGAGGAGACTGAAAGGTCGATGGTATGCCGGCCGACAGCTTAATTGCGAATTTGTCAACCTGAGATCATGGAGGAGTGCTGTCTGTGGGATGTCGAAATGTCCCAAAGGAAGGGCATGTAATTTTTTACATACTTTTAAAAATCCACACGACGAATATGACATCAAAAGCCCGCCGAGATGGGCGAAACAATCGTCTTCGTCTGCTCAGGAAGTTACGAGCAATAAAAAAACCGAACACAGGTATTGTTTATAAATGATAGATTATATCGTTACCATATATTATTGATATATATTGTTTTGATGTCTTTTGTTTAGAAATAAATCAAAATGGGAAGATGTTAGCGACGTGGAAGATAATAAAAATTGGAGGTGGTCCGAATCCCCCGAGCCCGAGATAGGTCATCGTTCGAGGAATGCTGAAACTCGCCATCATTATTTCGACGAAAGGGACTTTCGACAGAAATCGACTCGCGACAAAGGATACGAACAATTCGACAAGAATAGATCTATCGATCATGAGTATTCGCCGCCGGTCAAACGTCATCGAACAAGATCTAGAAAACACATAGATGAGAAGATCAGAGATGATGATGTTTCAAACGATCGCGACTATTCTAGAAGACGCTCAAAGAAATACAAAAAAAGGACAGAAGAGGATGATGATACGTCGCCGAGGCGATCGCATAAAAGACACTTGAAAAGCAGCGATCGAAATTATCGTTCGAGAAGTCATAAGTTTTCAGATAAACATTCTAAAAGAGACAAAGAGGATGTCGAGAAAGATAGATACAGATTGAAAAGTCATAGTGAGTCGTGTGAAATTTCTTGGGAAAGAAAATCAAAGAGCACGTCCGGAAAGTCGAATATCGAAGAAATAGTCGACGCGATAAATCTGCCTTGCGTAAAATCTAAATGGGACAAAGAAAATTCGGAACAAATTGATTCCGAAAGTACGGGTTCTTCCGATTCTGAGGTCTCTGGCGTTGTCGAAGACAAAGATGTTGACAAATCGGAAACATCGTGGAAACTTTCTAAAAAAATATCCGACGACGAGTGGGCTACGACTGATTCTGAAAACGAAATAAAGACCAAAGAGAATTGACGTAATAGACGTTGAATTTGTGTAAAGTCTCATCGTGACTTTGTTGAAAGCTATATAAGGAAACCAAATATAATGTGAACAATATGTACTTTTTCATACCAAAATATATTTAATAATAAAACGTTACATACTTATCGCAATAGGTCCTTTCTATTTTCTTTTCACTCTTTAATCGTCGTTGAAAATAATTCGAAAATTCTTTACTCTCGAATTCGAGAGTTACGTAATACAAAGCTGATTTTGAAATATTCAATAAATAAGATAAATATTATTGGAATCAATCAAGCGGTAGATATTATCTTTCTAGCACTAATATCCGTATTTACAATTTGATATTTTTTAATGTATAGAATGTGTACCTTCCGCGGTGATTAGGGACAATTTGTATCAACTTATCAGATAAATTTGTTTAATATGATATAGTATTAAGAGAATTTCGTTCTATATCTCGCTATAAAATGTTATGTACCATTGTCTTGCGAACCAATCTAGTGGAACTCGTTGAACGAATGAAAATTAATAGAACTTGTCTTGGTTCCGAAAACCGAATATGATCTTAAGTTTTCTCGTGTTATTATGTTTTACCTGTCGCCTCGGCCATGGCGTTGGTCTCCACGGATTTCATTTTCACGGTTTGGAAGAGCCACGTTCTTTGGACAAATCGACTTGTGAAAATATAACCGAATTATGGATTCGACAACCCGTCGATCATTTCAATGTCCGCAACAATTGCACTTGGTTGATGGTATGTTGCAAGTGGAATTACGCCGTTTAAAAACACAAAATGCTTATTTATATCTTGATCGTATTGTACATCGTATTATGCATCGTATATTTCGACAGCGTTACTATGAAAATTCAAGATATTTCAAGAAAAACGGACCGATTTTGATTATGATCGGAGGAGAATGGGCAATATCTAAAGGCTTCTTAGAGGCTGGTTTAATGTACGAGCTCGCATCCGCTTATAACGCGATCATGTACTATACCGAACATCGGTATTACGGCAAAAGTAAACCGACCGAGTAAGTTAATTTCTTCTCAAGCGCTAGTATATTTTTACTTTTGTTTGCCACAGCCTTTCTATTATTCTATTACCTTCCGAATCTTTTAGAGACACTAGTTCAAGAAACTTGCAATATCTAAGCGTAGATCAAGCACTGGCGGACTTGGCATATTTCATCGAAACGAGGAAAAAGGACGAGAAACTTCGGAATAGTAAAGTGATTGTTTTCGGTGGATCTTATGCTGGAAATGTGGCAACATGGGTTAGATTGAAATACCCTCACCTCGTTCAGGGTGCGCTAGCTAGTAGCGCGCCAGTTCTCGCCAAAGTTGATTTCTATGGTGAGGAATAAACTCTTTTTCAATTCCATGTAATTCCTATCAATTAAAAAAAAAAAAAAAAAATAGATAAATAGAAAAGGAAGCTTCTTTTTTAGAGTATTACGAAGTCGTGACGGAATCGCTCCGTAGACACAGTCAGAAATGCATGGACGAAGTTAAAGCTGCTTTTGACGATGTCGAAGAGTTACTAGCCATTCAAGGAGGCGCACAGAAATTAAAAGAGTATTTCAAGTAATTATCGTTCGTAGGAAATTAACATAATTCGCCGTGTATAATATTTGTTTAAGTTACACTTGAAACTGTCGTAGTTTGTGCGATGTGCCCGATGTACATTCCTTCAAGGATCTGGCTCATTTGGGCAACCTTCTAGCAGAGGTATAGTTTTTCGAAGAATACGCTGTTACATCTTGAATAAAAGATAAGTAACTGCTTCTAATCATAGTTATCAATATCTTTCTAATCAGGAATTTGCTAGCATCGTTCAATACGATAAAGTGGAGAACAATCGAACAAAAATCGCCGCTTGCTGCGAAAACATGACTGCTTCGTATCTGGGTAGCCCTCTCCAGAGATTGGCGCATCTCGTGTCGAACAAAGATAAATGCTTGAAAAATAATTACAACAAGTTTGTCGAAGTTTACAGAAATGAAATATGGGACTCGCAACCTGATATCAGTACGTTTCCTACTTGCGGCAATTAAAAGGAGGTTTCGCGCTTGTGAATTGTTTATTATTAATCTTCACATATCGGTGTTTCCAGTGAGACTATGGTTCTACCAGACATGCACGGAATACGGTTATTATCAAACAACAAACTCAAGGAAGTCGGTTTTTGGAAGCTTATTCCCGTTGCCTTATTTTACAGGTCTTTGTACCGACTTATACGGGTACTAGTACGTATTATAAAATGTATTGTTTGATATTTTCTCGAGAAATAGTACACAAACTCGTTTGTCTATCGTTTGTCTTACAGCTACGGTAACAGATTCTTGTATACCAGAATTGGAAGAACGAACACAATGTACGGAGGTTTACGACCAGATTTGCAAAACGTCATTTTTACTAACGGCGACGTCGATCCGTGGCATGCTCTCTCTGTTCTTCAGGACTTAAATGAATTCTCTCCCGCCATACTCATCAAAGGTATTGTTAAAAAAATCGGAGATTGACAAACGTCGACCGATCTAATAAATTCACATTGTCCCCAGGATCATCGCACTGTCGTGATTTGTACAGCGATTTGGATACGGATGTTGAAGATCTTATTCGAGCTAGAGCAAGAGTACGTAAAATTATTGGGACTTGGATTTCTTCTTAATCGTTTGTTACATTGTTACTAAATAAAGTATGCGTAAGAAAATATTTATTTCCAATAATATGATTTTATTTACAAATTGCGAAAATAAAACGACATATAACTTATACTTTATCGAACGTAAGCCTAAGGTTTGAGGACTACAATTATTTCATTTATATATTGAGATTCATCGAGCACAAAACTTAGTCGCGTCGATCGAGATCGAAATTTCATTGCTGTTTCTTTTACATTTCTGAATAATATCTTAATAAGCTCTTACAGCTACAATAATCGCTAGAATAACGTATCTTGTTGTAGCCCTGATAATTCGCTACAAAAAAAGTATCGATGACTTTATCCTATCGATATGGTAAATATCGGTTATGAAGTTTATTATTATCAATAACACGGCTTAATCAATCGACTTCGAGCTTTCTGAAAGAACCCGTGATACCGTACATGGTGGAATCACTGGAACCGATATCGGAACAACCAAAGCCTTGTTTCAAGGCCGATACCGCACCTTCCCGAGCCTTCTCCGAGTATAAATCCAAACACACTCTCATCTTATCGTGGCTCAATAACGTCGGTCTCATTTCTAGCAACTCTTTCTTCCATAATTCTGCGCAAATAAAAGTTTATTTTCTTCGTTTCGCGGTGTAAGCGCGTGTCAGTTTCATTTAATTGGAGATAGTCGATTTGTACGTTAAAAGGAACATTGTTACTTAATTTGGAGCACGTTTAATTTCGCAATTTATCAAATTGTACTTACCAATCATTTCTTTCATAGGCATCGTACCGCCATACTCTTTAGGTAACATACTCGTATCCATTTTATGGTTGATAGCATCTTCTAGACTGGTGTAGATCTTGACGCGTTTTTTTATCTTTTCGGAGATCAATGACATACCAAAGTCAAGTGCGAATTTCAAAGAAGGATGTGTGTTAATCGCGTGAACTTCCTTATGCCGCATGGGTATAGTTCGCTAAAACCATCATTTCGCTGGTTTACTATGCGAGATATTAAATTTCGGATATATTATATCATTTTGAGAACATTCTCGGAATTACGCAATATCAGAAATTCTCCGACTGTTTCGTAAGAAGTTGCGTATCCTTACGAGTAAAATGTTATCCAACTTGTTAGAGAACGCGTATATAACTAGACTTTATTAATAATTTGACAAAAATAAAGATAGTTGCACCTTCTGTCTCGCTTGAAGCTGTTGCAACTTGTTATTATATGTGAATGAAAAATATCGCGCAAGGATATTCAACGAATGTGAGACAAACAGTCGTGAGATTTTCTACGTCCTTCGTCGAACAATTTGAAATTATGGAAAAACGTAGGGTTTATAAAACTCGTACCTCGCCGTTCTTCACGATACGGACCGCCTCCTTCGGTGTAAAAAGCGTCAAATGGGGGAAACTGACACCGGCTCCATCGGCGAAATGAACAAAACCCCGTACTTGACTTTCCTCGTCTTCCATCAGACACTCGTATGTTATCGCGTGAATTCTACACATGTCGGCATTGGTATACTTATGAGGATCAAAGACGCCTGAAAGTGCACGTTCCACGCAGTTATAGAAAGTAAATATACATTCATAAACATTTAAACAAACATTCGTAAGATTACGGTTACACGTTTCCGCAACTACTTTTCAAAACCGTATAATAACAGTTGCAACGAAACGACGTGCATGCTGTCTGAAATTGCTCTGAAAGTAGAAGCGACGATTTAATAGCGGAATAAAATTACACGGAATGACAGGTAATCAACACATCCGTTGCAATTGTTTGGATTTGTTAAGAAGTTCGCCTGGAAACATTTGTAACTGGCAAAGATAGCTATTATTATGCGCGTATTTTCACAAATTATCCACGTTCAAATATATAATCAAGTTTCGCAATGACAATCGGCAATGCTGAAATTGACACGTTCGCCGTGTCGCCTGAACGACGCTACAGGACACACGCGATACCCCGCGTCAGCAGCTATGTTCAGGATATGTGCATAATATCGGTTCGAATGAGTGGCGCAAACCAAAAATTGCAAAACTGTGAAAGAGGAGTTTCACAATATTTTGCATAAGACGCGTATGAAAATTATTGTCCAACATATAATGAAACTCGACTGGGTCAATCAACGTGTTAACACTTAACGCTCCAAGTGTGCCTTTCAAGCACCACTGATGTGCGATGCTCTACTCCAAAAGTATTTTTGGGTCGTTATCGATATTGTTTACAAATAAAAAATAATACTCCTCAGTGAGTACTGTGAGACCTGTGAACGCAAACTCGGTTTGCATCCCAATGAATGTTTTAAACAATTCCACACATTACTCAATTATAATTAATATAAATATTCTAATCAAAATTATATTACTTCTCAGATGACTAAAGATTGTTTTCAATGACTTTAATATTATTATTTACACGTCATTGTAGCATTTTAAATCTGACACTTAAAAACTTGCGAGTTCAAGTATGATAAGAATAAGTTGCCGGTCGATATTCACAATTAAAAGTCGGAGCGTTAAGGGTAAACCGACATTAATTTACCTGGTCTGGCAATTATAACACGGCGGCCTTTGGCGTCGCGTCCAGGTGCAGCGAATATATATCTGGAAAAGCACAAGTTATGCGATCGTTATATCAGGTCGTATCACGCTTAGTTAGTACTTTGTTTAATCTCACCCCAAAGATAATAACTCGTCCATAGTTGGTTCGGTAATGTCCAAGTTATTGAACGCGGGGTGGTAAACTTGGCGCAGCAGCAAATACCTTTCGATCGCCTCTTCCGCCATCGGAACGTTAAATTTTTTACATCTTAGGAATCTTAATAAAAACTGCGCATCTGTCGAACGAGATCGTGTGTCAGTAGCATCGACGCGCGATAATTTCGCGCGTGACTATACCTACATGTACGTATGTATGTACTAACTGTGCAAACGCTATACTCGAAAATAAAATTTCTCACCGAGGCGACAGTTTTGTATACGCGGATTCAGTTTTATCCAATTACGTATCTGCTCAAGAGCTTGGTCTCTCGTATTTTTATCTTCTCTGAGTTCCTCCTTCGCCAGTTTCTGCGTTTCCGTCGACAGGCTGCATTCGTAGTCATCGCCCTCGGTTACCCATTCGATCGCGCCCATCTCGTTACTTTGATTTGTCTCCAACAACAGGCAGTTTTAAATTTTCGATATCCAAAGTATAACGGATCGGTGGAAATTCTAAAAAATCATTTGTTCCTCTTTACCAACGATCCATCTATCGTCCCATTTTCCATCTTACGTTCCCTAATCGGTAAATATACCGCGATAGTTACAGATTTGACGATATTCGAAATAAGTTTGATCGCGATCTTTGTTTTCAGTGAAACGGCATTCTTTTGCATTCACATTTTCGATCGTCGAGCGATTCGTTTCTTTAGTGGACCGCTGACACAGTTCCCTAATGTCGTTCAAAGTCACGGCATGAATGAAAGCATCGTGGTGAGAAATAACACGCCTGAAACACTTTCTTTCGATCGCGTAACGCCACGTCTTGCGTAATTTCGTAAGAACTTAGCCAATTATAAGCTAACAGTGATTTTGTGACATAACAATTTCGTCGTTTTATGATATAATGTTTGACCAAGTATGAATACCGCTAAGTATTACGTGTTCCGTGATAGCAACATGTGCCATGTTGTGAGCGAGTGACTTGTTTCGCAATCACTTTCTCCGATTACGTAATCAACCAGCTTGTGCGCCCATCTTTGTTCTCGAATTTTGTACGACCGACTAACATCGTTCGCGTAATATCTCGCTATCATCATCGTAAACAATTATTTTTGTTTGTCAGCTTTCTAACGGTTCACTCGATTCCTTTTTCTAAAGCGGATTATTTCTATCAAACACTTATCGTTCATCATCCTCTTATAACCTTACGCGTAAAAGGATTCTGCTGTTATTTGATCGACGTGAAGTTTGTAACGTTCGTTAGGAAACGATCGTTGGTAAACAGAACAAGACTGATGCTTTTATTTTATCGCTTTTAGTGAATCAACAGGTTTGAAACGTGAAACTCGGATAGAAAGGGACGAAACAAAGATAAGTCAATTGAATCATTAAAATCGCCACATTTTTGCCGACTGTGCCTATTCAGCGTCTCTTCGTTGTACTAGCAACAACGTATTGTTCTTATTGGTTGAGAGATTTCAACAGTCAAGGCAAATTTATGGATGCAGAAGGTTTCTTTTACGTCTACGTTAACATAAACTAGCATAATACGAATGGGGTTATCGAGCAACCGGCGGAATAAACCACGTAACTATCTTCCGTGTAGAAAGTGCCACTTATCGTCTTATTATTACTCAAGTTCTTTCTCGAATATCGACTGCCGTTCACCCTATATCTAGCAATCTAAGTATTTTTGCTATAAAGCATTACGTCAGTTATGTCGACAGATTTGTCCGCGTCCTCTTCTTTCTTTTTTTCCTTTATCGTTCTCCTCTTATAGTTACGTTTTTATGTTTCTCACGAGTTCAAGTACCGAAAACTAGACTTCGTATCGAACAGTACCTATGACATATTAGGTTGGCAACTAAGTGATTGCGGATTTTGTCATTAGGTGGTAATGCTATAAGAGGAGAACGATAAAGAGAAAAAGGAAGAAGTCTGCGGATTTTGTCATTACCATTAGGCGGTAACCACCTAATCACTTAGTCGTCAACCCAATAAATTGTCAAGGATAAACAGTCTGTGTAATTAAATATAGACAGAAGAATTATCAAATCGAGTAAAGTATACAATTTACTCTACCTTAATGCGCGTCAACTAAACACTGTTTCGTATATTAATTCGGTTACATGCAACATTATTGGCTATTGGTTTCTGTTGATCAAAGTCAGATGACATTGAATTGCAGTAAAGAAAAAAAAAAGAAAAATACATCACGTTTAGATATTTACGTTTTTACACATTCAAAATCAAATTAAATCTGTTGTATGCGAGGCCTTGGCCTTCAAAATTCCTGACCTCTGAAAACAAGGTTAGGATACAATTACTGGTACTTAGTATTCACCTGACATCGGTCCGATGAAGTACAACGAGAAGAACAATGTAAGTTCCTTCAGACGCGACTAAAATTTATAATAAGTTTGGTGAATTATCGTACAAACAAGGAGATCCATTTGAAGGTATCCGGAATGAGTTATTGGTATACTGTTGCTACGAGATAAACTAATGTGACGAACAAGATTGATATATTTGAGATAGTAAATTGAGATAGTAAAATTGTGATAAACTAATAAAGTTTCTAATTTTCTAGAATTTAAAAACCAAGTCGATCGTATTAAAATGTTTCTTAAGAAATTAATATAATATGAAATTTAAGCAATACATGATAATGCGATTGATATAATTTGTTTAAAAATTTTTGTTTTCAAGAACTGCTAACTTCTCAATGATATGATTCTGACTTTAGCCGATAGCACACATTATTCAATTTTTCAACAATATTTCAAGCTTTGATTCTTACTAAATAAATTCTTGCGTCTCCAAACGAAACAATTTTATTAATAACTTATGGAATTAATGGAAAGCCATGTAACATACCCAAGTTGTAGTTGCGCAGGTGAACACTTGGAGGAGACTGTTTCCTCTTGGCTTGCGACCGCTCTTTTATAATTTCCACTTGCACCTTTCTTCTACCTCCGCCTTCGGTACTCACGCGGCAGCTTATGGGCCTTATGGCTTATACCAGCAGACTCAAAGCAAAGAAACAAAGTCCCTTTCAGGGACGAATCTCGCCTTTTTTAAATACTTTTCTTTGTTAAATGGATCGAATAAATTGCCTAACGAAAGATACGTAAAAAACTGTTCCGTCACTTTGCAGCAAACCATCGAATACCATGGTTCACCTAATTGCCTGTCTTTTATAGGTACGTCGGTTGATATCATCGTTCACTTAAACTTAAACGATGCACTGTAGTAGTACATTTCGTAACAACTTTTTCTTTTTTTTTCTCTCTACTATGTTACTTTTCTACAATTCTTACAAAACGTCCCGAAAATTGTGGCTCCATATAGAAATGAAAGTTCTACATATTCTCCCTTACAGTTCGTATCCTAAATTTGGTAATTCATCAAATGATAATTATATTACAAGTCCACGGTCAATATAAATACATAAGTTGGAAGAAATTAATTAATTGGAAATTTAAATAATTCTTATCTTTCAATAATTTAACATTAGTAAAGCAAACACGATGACATCGTGTAATATTTCGAACAACAAGTGAATTATTAATCGACAATATTCTTCAAATTTATTAAAAATATATAATCATATCTTATTTTCTAATCAATCAGTGTATTCCAGGTAACTGTTTCTATCTTACATCACCGATCTACGTAACAAATAATTAGGAAATTTCTTTTTTTCCTACTCTTAATCTCGAATAAGTCTTACAGTTACGCATCGAGATTAATTATATATATATTTTTAAAAAACCAGGACGAATTATATTGGACGCTATACTACGTTAGTATTACGTACTGACAATTAACAAACGCTACACTTGTCAATTTTATTTTGTCATTTTATTTTCTTGTCGATATCATCACTAATAATTATACTCAAACTTAAAGCTAATTTACAATTCTAAAAAATTCTTAAATATGTAGATATTCCTATAGCAATTAACAAAATTAAAAATATATTGGAAATGTATAGCGAGTTACATGGATTGTTATGGTTTTGCATAACGCTAGCGGTCGTACTCACATGAGTGTACGTAATAGTTGTTTCGATGCTGTTTATTTACCAAGCTATGACATGCAATGGTTCGAGCACTTACTATCAGGAAGTGAAATGTGATCATACGTGAAGAAGCGTCCTGATATAGAAAATGTAGCGCAGGCATAACATCTTATGGGATATCGTGTCACGTAAAGTGTAAAGTACCGATCTTGGAGAAAAAATCCAAGGTTTTGTTGTGTTCTTCGCGATTTAGGATAAATTTAAGCATTATATCACGAACCATATAACAGACGTAAACATATTATGTAATTTCATAAGAAAAGCGTAAAAAATACTCAACGTGCCACGTTGTGCAGAATAAAATACGTACACTGTAAAAAGTAATAACTAGACTGACGCACATCGAATTTTCATTCTCTAATTACCCCTATATGAATTATTATCAAACATTTTATTTTTACACTTTCGTAATACACTTAAATCAACATTATATTATCTCAAAAAGACATGAATTCGCGTTATCCATCGTATATTAAGATTTGAGCAATAATTGAACGGTATTATCTGCAGCGCCAAGTTATGAAAAAAATAAACAATATTTTATATCATACTATGTACAATATATGTAATGTACTACAAATTTCTACAAAATAAAACATCTATACGTATCGTTGGCGTTCTTAATTGATTAATGAATGAAAAAAGGAATGAATAAAGCAGATTAAATACAAAGGATTACAATAATAACTATATTGGAGATATATCTTTTAAATCACAAATTCTCATCTTATTAACACATATTATTTTCCTCTTCTTATTTTTAATGTTAGTTTCTTTTTGGCAGTGGTTGTGGCAGAGGGATAAACAATTTTTTTAATGAGGCAAGGGGGGGAAAAGTGTAAGAAAGAAATGCAATGAACAAAATCAAGATGGTACTTAAATAAACTAAATAACAGCTTTAGCTAGCAGTTTAAACTGTGTAAACTTGGTGTTTGTGTTGAATGTATTTTGAAAACTAAGACATGTATATGTGTAATAAAAAGTGATCGAGGGTATTTACTATGATTTATTATTTAAAAATGTATGAAGTATTAAAAAATGTTATAATAAAATATAATGATAAAAATGACAGTTTATTAAAAGTATGAAATGTTTAAATTTGGCTCTGCTTTTCAAATAAAATTGTTCTTATAACATACGTATATAATTTATAATATTATAGTTACTTTGATACTCTTTTATTATATTATTTTAATTGTTGATTTACATATTTGTATTTAGTGTATCAAAATAATTATTTTTTATGCAATTCGTATAGTATTTCCTTTTTCCAATCAACCATTATAGATGTGATAATGCTACACTTTGTATAAAATTCTAGCGAAAATAGTTGACATAAATATCACTGATCATATAATAATTAGTTTAAAAAGGTTAATATCTCAATAACATCTGTAATACTTAAGACTAAATCTAAGATCACATTGAAACCTATAATAAGCTTTTAAGATATTATAATTTTGTACATTTATTTTTTCTGAATAATTAACGCTAATATTTTAGTCTTGAAAATTTTCTATATTTTAAAGAAAAAGGAACATATATGTAAAGATAAATAAATTATTACATTAAATTTAGAGTCTACCAACAACTTGTACCTTAGCATATGCCCCTTTGCAGCCACTGCCAAAAAGTAATAAATTTTGTTTGACTTCATTTACTTGATCCAATGTAAGTGTCAAACCACTGTTTGTTGCCGCCTCAACTATGCACATTTGTAATGCTTCTTCGTTTAAAGGCTCATAAGGAACAATTAAACTATCAATCTTTTTATGGACCAGTGCTTCGCGAATCGTATTTATGCTTTGTGTTAAATCTATTTTTCGTTCTAGATTATTGTTCACTTCTTCTATGTTGAAAATTGCTATTACGGTGACACATTTAGGTTTTGTTTGATTTAATACATCTATTATATTAGAAAAAATATCTAAATTTTGCATTTTTAAATTTTCCAGTATAATTAACTGATACAAATCAAGTGAATTTGACAAGTATGCATCGGTATGATGGTTCAACAATATATCATATATAAAAATTTTCTCTTTCAGAGGAAAATGTTTTGCTATGATTTGAGCAGTGTAAGATTTCCCAACGCCTGTTCCACCTATAAGACATAAAACTTTTAAATAGAAAATATCCTGATTTAAATGAGTTGTAATTTGTGACATTGCATTTCTTTGTCCATTTATCTTTTGCTGTAATTCTTGAGTAGCATTTAAGAAAAACGTTTCACGATTACAAACTGTAGGTATATTCAAATTTAAAAACATTGCAATTATTACTGCAATTATTGGTAATATGCTCAAAGTTAAACAACCACAGTAACACATATTTATCTTCTTTTTTGGAGAAATTTTGTTTTTTAATACTAGTGGCCTACATTTATTTTTTATGTCTTGATATGTCTTTTTATTTATAATTTTTGTATCACTGTTTGGTTTAATTTCAGCAGTTGTTTTCTCACAATTTCTCAGCTGTACAGAAGGAAAATGATCTTCTTGATTTATTGTATTTGCATTTGCTGCTGGGCAATGCAATGAAAATCGGGATACATTTGTAGGATTTACATTTTCAACTTCATCGAATAGTATCTCATTTAATGGTTTGTTTGGTATAAATTTTGGTGCTTGTAATATATTGCTATTTTTGCAGAATTGCCTATTAAGAGATGTAAACGAGTCGAAACAAGGTTCTGTTATCATCTGATGCTCGTTAAAAGTTTTATTATCGGTTCGCTTAATTTCGGACGTTTCCACTGGTCTAAAATTAAAAAAATAATTATTCGTGCTGTCATCAAATCTACACAATAATATCTACCTTGCAGTTACATGTTCATTAAAAATGTGGTCGTATTGTCTAATCAAGTTAGGCTGAGTTTCAGATTGATACATCTGTTTTATGGAGATTCGTTGAGAAGATGGTGTTTGCGAATAATTAACATCTTCTGTTATTTTCCAATCAGTGTCCGAATCTAATAATTTTAATGATGCAAAATGTTTTTCCATACCAATACTTATAACTCAAATCACTCTATACAATATCATTGGCAAATGAAACATAACCTGAAATTCAAAACATTTCCGCTAAAGGAACGTAAACAAATTAATACAATTTATGTATTACACTACGATTTTGAGATTGTCTATTTCGTCGATAATCTTAAATCATTGTTAATCATTATTTTAAAAACAAATTACATGGAAATTATAAACATTGATAAACTTATATTTGTTATAGATTACATTACTAAGAAAGAAAATAATTTATTTGAGTTTAAGTGATATAAACGACATATATATACATATATTCATATGTATATTATGTTTGTTATAATAATAAGACAATAATCTTACTTCTGCTTTAAAGATACATAAAGAAGATTTAAATAATCGCGCGTAGTTCAATTCATCCGTTCCGTCTATCACGTTGATATTCCTGCTGTTCCAGCTCAGTTTCTGCTCGTGTATCGATGACCGCAGGTTGTGTGTTGCAGATATGATTATTTTGTATTTTCGTGATGTGACATTTTTCTGGTGAAAAGCAGCAAAGATGCAATCGACGCAACTAGTGATACGATGTTTCTGGGCTATGTCAATATTCGTATTAGCAGCGGGTAGAATTCACAAACTCGAATTACGGGTTAGTTCAAGGAATCTTCAGCTATAACGCGTGTAGTGTATATCTGTATATCTACCCATTATTTTATTAGAATTCCTTTGCTACGTCAATCGCATTTCAACCGGCCACTAAAATTAACTTTGTTATTCGGTTTACACGTATAAAGTGATAATCACATTAAACTGAGATAAAATAAGTTAATTATGTAAACGAACGATATATTACATACGATAATATCGTACTCACATTTACGTTCATAGTTACGATTATCTAAATGGTTGCAAACATAGTAAACAATATAAAAGATTCCCGCAAAGACTTTATTAAAAAGTTGCAGCATATAGGTTATAGCCAGTTGCGTTAATTGTATAAATTATTATCTTTAGAGAACACTTTCCTTTTGTCGATTAGTCATAGGTTACGGAATTTTGTTATGTTTATACATATGTACTTGTAATATTGTATGTTACAGAAAGATGTACGGCGATATATTGCGTTAAGTACCTTTGGTTTCTACAAAGGAGGTACTCTCGATGTAAATTTAACAAATTTCAAAGTTGACCCATTTGACGAGAATGCCGTGGTAAGTAATCGCAATGTGAATATATTCACGCGTCATTCATTCACAAACACCTGTTTCCATTTCCGTCATTCTCATTGCTGCACTGCCGTCAGTGCTTTATTCACAACGGAGAATGCTTCGCATGTAACTGTCAATAAAAATGCGCACATGTGTGATACGCACTTCATCTAATCAATCAGTTGGTGCGTCCCGATATATGGTATAGGATCATATCGGCTAATTCGTCGAATATTAGGTTGCCGTCGCACAACATTTAAATGCATAGCCATAATCAGACAGCAAAATGTGAACGTTCGTAATATGTACATTTTTTCATAAATATTTGATTAAACCCGGTAAACTCAAGTTCTTTAACACGCTCTCGGGGCTACAATCCTGATTATGTTCATGCTCAAGGGTACAATACAGCAGCGCTTATTAACGTATTTTCAGCCTATTTTATAAAGATTACCATTTCTAATTACAAAATGCTTTTTCGAAAAACTCCAAAACCTGTTTTTCTTCTTATAATTGTGCACTCTATACTTTTATGGTTTAGTTTGGGTTCACCTTGGATCGTACCCTAACCGATGCGATGAATCCATATTTAGACAGTCACTGGGAAAGATGTGTACTCGAAGACATTTCGAGCGTCAGGCCCGATTTCGATCAAAGAAATGACAGCGCCGTAATATATTTCACAATGGACCTCAAGAACAACTTGTAAGTATCGATACTTTACATTTATTTCGGAAATTCGATAACATAAATCTATGAGAAAACGTGTTTTAGGTTGAAGATAAACTGTAGTCGAAACCTACACATCGCACATATTTATAAAGATTTCAGCAACGTGTTTCTAATTCGGGAAAGTAGAGATTCTTTTCCACCCAGGTTCAGCGATAACGGTCTTCCGGGTGAGTTGAAATTTTCCAATTATTTTAATTTTATCGATTAATTTATAATAGAATTTTATTGCAATAAACACTGCTTTTACAACCGCTGTAACCATTGCAGCCGTTAATCCAGTATTTTGTCAAACAAAACTCTAAGATATTATATTTGAATTGAAAACAGAATGTCAAGTTATATTTAACTATGTTATAAGAATATTTAAAATAACATTGTAGTTAAAAGTTCAAGATCTTGGAACTGTTCCTCCTATCAAACAAATCTTTCTTTCTTCGGTTTCGGAAAATTAACAAAATTTCGTTGATTTCTTGAAAAAACTTGTATTTTTTTACTTCTTTTCGGAAAAGAGAGGTACATTGTTGTAAAAAATGAACAGTGTTCAAAAGTGGATAAATGGATTTAATATGTCGATCTTGTAGTACACTGTTATTTTTGGCAAGCATCCAAACGTAAGTATGTATGTTTATAGTAGTTGCGGGAAAGATACCATTGAATGGATGAAGTATTACTTCGTAGTATGTCATAATTTTCGCAAATTTCTTATTTGTCTTATCTAATTTTGTTTTCTTATCCGATCGATAAAATATTTGTGTTTAATTTTAATTATCAATCTCACATAATTATCTAAAGATTTTAATTTTACAATGAGTATGGCGATTCCTTTTATTATTCATTTAAAAATATTTAATTAAAAGATCGTTACATATCAATGAAAGGAAGGATTTAAATTTCTGAATAATCTTAAACAACGTCAACCTACGAACTTAAATAGTATATTATTTTTGTTACAAGTTATTTTTGACACAGTTTGCTACTAATATTAGAAACTTGATTCAATCGTAACGCAGACTAACAGGTGGAAAGTAACAAGTTGGCATGAATTGCATTGATCGCGACCTTAGAATATGTATGTATATGTGGAGGATTGATCGAGGATAGATAGTGCGAAATAACGAGAGCGAGATATTGCTGTCGCAACCCGTCAAATATATTTCGAATAAATAAATTAATTAATTTACAGCCGTTTATACGTTGGTATAAAATACAAGTCGCGGAATAAATATTCGTTAATGTTCATCGCGTAACTCGATAAATACTCTGTAGATAATATTCGATACTCTTCGATACTCTTCGATACTCTTCGATACTCTTCGATACTCTTCGATACTCTGCGATACTCTGCGATACTCTCTCGCTCGCGATCGCGTCCATTTATTTATACTGGTCGGGGGAGAGTCGGAAAATTCAAATTCATCTTCATTCGACGGTTGCCTGTAGCGGCGGCATTGTTTTGCCCGGAATCAATTTTGTTCTTACATTACTCGTAACCTAGCGGTCTTGATACTCCGAGGCAAAACAACAACATGATTTGAATTATCCTCTGACTCATGTGCCGCTACATATATATGTATGTAACATTTCTTTTACAAAGAAACTTTTATCGATGTATACGATATATAAATATTTCGTGTGTATCGCATAATTTTATTTATACTGTAGCTTATAGTTGTAACGATCATAAGAACCTATATTATTGCGATAATTTATGAATGACGTAAATCGAATGCCATCTGCCATTAATTGCTATGTTTTTTATTCTTGTTATTTGAATTTTTGTTATACTGTTTGCATATAATATACGTATACATTCTCTTGATACCAGCATGAGTTCACTCTACATTTTAACCCACTAGATCATTCGCTCCTGTGTATACGCATTTACTCATACTGCATACTATATATGTATGTATTGTATGTGTGTACATATATACCCAACTAACGGTAAGATGGCACTACGAATCATCAGATATTTTCATTCAGTTGTACTGATACATGCTTAACATTGGACTTGCGTATCTATCTTGTCTGACATTTAACATGTTTAATTGGTTGTCGAATTGATTCTACGAATTGATCGCTCGATGACGATAGCGAAATATGACAGCACTTTGTAACGTTTCAATGTTAGATTGATTTCGATCTTAACAAGAGACTTCTGCTTCTTACTCATTATAAGAATTGATAAATAAAAATTTAGATACGAAATTTGAACTTGCATTGCTATCAATGCAAACTTTTAACTTAGTTTCGCATGGTCGTAGAACTAAAAACGAATGTGATCGATATGTTATGGAATGTGGACCTGAAGCGACATCGGTGATCGAACACCACTAAGATGAGAGTCGCTATAATTAACGTGACTCGTCCTCAATGTTATAAATACCTCGAAACTCAAGTATTTTTGAGGGTTTGGTTAGGTAACTGTCTTCTAGAGTATTACATTTCATGCCAATAATATTTCAACTGGATTATACCAAACTTACGACTAATATTAAATTAAACCGGTTTAATAGATTTCCAAATAAAATAACAATTTCTTTCATATATTCTTCCTTCTGGTAATCTCTGAAACTATTACGTATCACTTATAGCGTAATTTTTCCACAGGCAACGAAAGAACTAATACCGAAGATGAATCTGAGACGGGGTCAGACGGTAACATTTGTTCTGATCAAACGACCCCGTTCGCGATGACCGTACAGACCGTGAAAGGAGAAAAGTATTACAATACAAGTTTTTCTATGTATATTGCCAGTGCGGAAGAAGAAGGTCTCTATTCTCTTTATTTCCATAATTGTCCGAATTACAAATATGATTCCCAGGTAGCATTTGATTTCACGGTAAGAATTTGTTTTTTCTTTTTTTGTAGCAATCTTAATTTACTGAATCTGACATTGTGATAAATACGATGTATAATTTACAGATACAAATATCGGAAATTAACAATGGAAATTTCCTCAGTGCAGGTGAAATGCCTTTACCAGCTCTATATTTCATGATGGCACTTTTATTCTTTCTGTCAGGTTGTTTCTGGGTATTTATTCTTAAGAAGAGCAAGTAAGAGTTTTGTCTACATTTGTACAGCAGAGGTTCACCAATATGACAATCCTTCTCTCCTTCGAAACTCATGGATGTTTTTTTTTAGGCACCCTGTTTTTAAGATTCATTACTTAATGGCGGTTTTGGTGTACCTGAAATCCATGTCATTACTCTTCCATGGGATTAATTATCATTTTATTCAAACAAAAGGGGAGCATGTTGCTGCTTGGGCAATTCTATATTATATCACACATTTATTGAAAGGAGCCGTACTTTTTATCACCATTGTATTAATTGGCACTGGATGGACATTTATTAAACATATTTTAGCTGATAAAGATAAGAAGCTCTTTATGATAGCAATACCCTTACAGGTTAGTATTTTTATACGAGACACAGGGAGAAAAAGAGAATCGATATAGGTAGATACATTATGACATATTGTCATCTGTCAGGTATTGGCAAACGTGGCAGAAATAATAATCGAAGAAAGCGAAGAAGGAGATATCGAGTATAGAACGTGGCGAGATGTTTTTATTCTCGTAGACTTGCTTTGTTGCGGTGCTATTATATTTCCAGTAGTTTGGAGTATTAAGCACGTAGAGGAAGCTGCACACATAGATGGCAAGGCAGCTATCAACTTACGCAAGCTCAAACTTTTTAAGCATTTCTATATTATGATATTTTCTTACATTTACTTTACCAGAATCATAGTGTACTTACTTAAGGTATAGCTTTCGTTACATTACCACTATTTTGACCACTTTGTACAAAAGAGATTTCATTTCTGTTATTCTGTTTTATAGATTACAGTACCTTTCCAATACGAATGGTTAGATGAAATGTTCCGAGAAATGTTTACATACGTCTTTTTTGTTCTTACCGGGTATAAGTTCCGAGCAGCATCTGCGAATCCGTATTTTACAATAACTAACGATGAAACAGCTCAGGCTGACGAGGACGACGAGATGGATGTCGTGTGAGTATTCACGTATTTGATATTTTTCTCCTACTTATGAAAAATCTTACCGTCATATAAAAGAAGCTATTTTCATTCGTTATTTTCAAATATTTTTAGCAGTTTTTACTCTATTAACTATTTTATACTTTGGCCAGTTCTAATGTGACGATCTCAGTCTTTTTTCCAGTGTTTCCGGAGGTAGCGGTGTCACCGAAGGTCTCAGTAAAGTGAGCAAGGTGCCGAAAGTTTTGAGGCCCATTACTTCGGATGTTGCATCCACTCAGGAAGAAAGAGACTGTTTGTTTAATAAGACAGAATCTTCTCACGACTATAACTGAACTATCTACGATGTAGGAGTTGGTCGTAATGCAACGATGATTCAGTATGGATGAACGTAAAAGACTACTTTTCTGTCGTGTGATACTTCAAAGGAGTGCCAGCAGTCAACAATAACACTTATCGTGAATAACATTTGAAAGCTGTCGAACGAAAACAAAAATATGTAGTTAAAGGTAGCATTCTATTGTTTGTTTCATATATTTTTTTTATAGCACAGAAACCGATATTTTATTTATCAAATGGTTACACATTTTATTCCTCTTTGTCCTAGAATTGCAGAACATATTTTTAATTCATTTTAATTTGGATTTAATATTACACGAGAACCTTTGGGTTCGACAATTAACGAAAAATTGTCTCTTATTCGTCTTTTTTGTTTATTTAACACGCAATAGAATTTGTTCTGCGTATACGCAAGTATACAACATTATCTGTTTTCCAATACGTAACTTCAAATTGGAGTTTAAAATTTAACGTAATTCACAAATACTGGTAGAGAAGTATTATAGATATTGGACAGAGCTAATCTAGGTGGTTTTAAAAGTTTAATGTTTTCGATACGCGATATAATGTGATTATACGTTTAGAATCATACTTGAATGTAAGCTCAATGAGAGTAAATTCGTGTTTTGATATGCGTCTTGTTGTAGCTGATTTTTCTTAGGCATTTAGCAAAACGGGAGACATTTCCATTTATGTTTCCCACAATAAACTTAGTTTTCTTCGAAAGAAGGAGTCGCGCTTCAGCGCTTTAGCAATCTTGTGATAATTGATGCATCAAACTCGGTGTATCATGATCCATTTTTGTAAAGCACTTGATAACCTTTTATATAGAAATAATTATTGTGTCAAAAAAAATGTCATATGTTTTAAAACATCTATTGTGTCCCATTACGAAATACTATGGTTATTATTACTATTCTCTGTACTGTATATTATAGTAATTATCGTTATGTCTGTTACTATTAGTACTTTATTATATGTAACAAAAGGGACACGCAAGAAACGAGGTTTGAGAAATAAAATGGATATTTTTGAATGATGAAATGTTTGAGAAATGAAATGTCTCGTTTCTCTTGATACTACTATACTTTTCCCTATTATTGTGCAATAGTTTAATTTAAATGGTATTTTTAGACTCAGAGAGGTATAAAATAATTATTCCATGAAATGGTTTATTAGGTTCTTTTCTATATATATACATATACCACACAAATTTGTGATTTTGTGATTTTTAATGTCTTATACTACTCTTTGCCTTCTGTTTCGAGTAGCATTTATAAGAACTAGTAAGTACGTACTGTACTAAAAGTTCTAGCGTAATCTTCGTCGGTGATATAAGCAAATATTAGTATACTTCAGTGACGAGCATAAGATTCTCAAAAAATCGGTTAATATGTTCGTATTTTGAGCAGGAAGTTATACTACCGTGAGTTTAATTCAAAGAAAAAAGAACACGGAATTACAAAGTAATTTAAGCAGCAGCAACTAACAAAGCTGAAACTTGATAGTTTATTTCTAATTTTCTAACAACGCGAATATAGTGAATGTTCACGATGAATAATATCTTAATGACGTAATTTTAAGCTATGGATAGCAGCGACACGGACTATCACGCGTCATGCAATATCGAACAATTACACACGCATGGATGTGCCCGATTTACAGAGTAGAACACTGTGGGTTGACGAATTATGACAAGAGATGCATTTACCCCTACGATATCGACCTTAAATTGAATAATAAATTAATTAATGGCATCGAGCCAGTAACATCGACGAATTACTATGGAACATTTTTCCCGATAACATTAAATCTTTATATAACATTTTTTTACGTTTATAAATTTTGATTATCTTGAACGAGCAAACAAATCCTCCACCAACAATGCATCTACTATATTGTCGTTAAAAAACGTTAAACAACGCTGTTTAACCATAAAATCGCGTCGTATCAGTCTTGAACACAAACGATTCAAAGTTACGCATTTACAAAAACAAATAACGATAAATACTTTATTAAAAATTCATGATAACAAACACACGAAACAAAGTATCGTTTAGCGCGTTAAAATTGCTGTTACCTAAACGAATGATAAGAAAGTGCGAGTAAGTATTCAACTTTGCGGTAATAATAGTTAGGATTAGGATCAAAAGCGAAGGAAAACCAATGATAATTGTAATCGCGTGTGATTTTTCCAAATAATCTCGATAGATTTTTGCCGTAACCTTCGAATAGTTTTAACCATTTTAGACGATAGTGTTAAAATGTTTAAACAGAAATATGTTAGTCTAGGACAGCTTCTTCTTTAATATAAATATCTTTGTATTACATCGACGAAAGTATATCGAATGGATAGGTGATAATTACAAATAAAAATGTGGATTTCTAAAACAAAGTTGTGTTTATTGTAACAACTTTTCGGATAATTCGGCTATTAGACGTACACGTTGCGTTAACTAATCGGTTTGTTAATCTTGAATTACTAAAATGCCATTGAATCACAAACTAATCCAAGTAAGAGTGAGAATAATAAATTGCTCGACATAGCCATTGTCCTAGTCCAGTGTGGCGCAATGGGAGGATCTCTGGAAGATGCGATGAGACTCTCAACGATCTCTAGTTTCTCCGAGTCGCAAAGTGCATTCGTATCATTGAATATTCCTGCGTTTACTCCCATTGGTATCGTTTTCCCGATCTTCTTTACGAAGATATTTCTCAAGTACGCGAGACAACATAGCCGACAATAACTGTCTGATTCGCCTGAAAATATTTACTCAACGTTGCAGAAAAACATTTCTCCTTTAACTTATCATAACCTTTAAGAACGATTCGAGGATTTTGGTCGCGTCACATAGTTCGATAGAACTTCACGCTTCCCTTGAAATCGATCGTGTTAACGAACTTAATGTTTATTAAATTCTCGTATTTTTCTAAAGTACATCCGTTTCGTCGTGAACGATATCCTGGAGCATGCGTCGCCCCGACTCAGCGCAGCGCGGCGCGGCGTCCCGGCATCCAAGCGACGTGCCTACGAAACTCGTCGCGGAACTCTTCAGTCAGCGTCGCGACGCGTTGCAAACGTCTTTTCGTTCGTTCGACTGGAAATCGGTACAAGATCGACAACTTGCACAATTTTCAATACGCGTACATTTTTACCTGTAACTGTGCCGTTAACGATTGTTTCCGATCACGTGCTATTAAAGCGTACTATTAAATGTGTCTCCGAAGGTACGTACGATCATATTACAAACATAACGTGCGATCGTTCGCTATAATTGTTTGTTACGTACAAGCTTATTTGTTTACCCCTACGATATCAGGTCGTTTTACATCGCACGTTCCACTCGCCTTCATATTAATATCAAAAACGAAGAGAATATTAAACGGGAATATTAAGAATGCAGAGGCTGCAGTTCTGCGACGAACAAATACCGGCTACCGTTGATCCGCGCTAACGTATTTCGCTAACGTGCTTCGTTATTCTGCGTCTATCTGTTCTAGCTCTCTCTCGCAAGTGGATGTCAAACGCCACACAAATACCTCAGCTACTTTCGGCGAGAAGCATTTACTCGGTTATGAATCCGCTAGAAATTACATTTTTCAAGCATATTTGCGAACGTCTGTCAACCATATCTGCCTCAGTGTCTAGGATTAGGAAGTTTGGATTTATTTCCCTGATATAATCGAACAAATATATATTTAACATATAACAAATAAATATATATACAATATGTATATATTAGGTTGGCAACTAAGTGATTGCAGATTTTATCATTAGATGGTAATGACGAAATCCATAATCATTTAGTTGCCAACCCAATATATATAAATACGAATCGGTAACTATGAATCGTTAATTGACATATATTTGCAAAAGTTAAGACGTTGAAAAAAAGTGAGAACAAGCGGATTGAAAAGCGTTGACGGTAGAAGGAAGATGACGTTATAATTTCATTGTAATTGAGATTAGCGACTGTGTATGCGTGTCACGAAGGAACAAAAATTGACGCTGTCGTGTAACTACCGCGTTGCGATATTTCTAATTTTGTCTGACACGCTGTCGTGTTTTCTATTATACAGAATGGGAAGAACAGGACCCGCGTTTGCTGTTTCCGGGCACGATTCTTCCCTGATCCTCCTGCAATTGTCTGTAAACCCTGTCTCTGAATCCCGTGTTTCCGATCTTCCGAGGAGTAGAACGTTTAGCCATTGCGGAGAGCAGGTCACGGCACCGGCAACTGTAGTGACGCGAGTGAAATTTCGATTTTAATATTCATACGTTATCGACGACGTTCTTTCATTCGATGAAACGACGTGATCTTGTTGCGGCACCGTTATTACCGATGCGTCTCGATCCCATTTGAAATCCATTCACGAGTAACGTGTCTGAGGAAAAACAGTACGGGCACTCGTCGAACTTAAATTAAAAATGTTGCAGGCGCGCGACGTGCAGCGAATAATCCTAATCCAAACGAATCACACCGTCTACAATGGAAATAACCAGTGAGTAGCGAACTTACGATATCTCGAACATCGCTGACTAGATTACAGTTAATATTTATGGCTACACGAGCACAAAGACCGGCGAAACTTGACAAAACTCGATGCACGCCTGGCCAACTTGCAAACGCATTGGCCAAAGAAATCGAGTAAAAAAGGCTGTATTCTACTGGAAGAGAATTTGCAGTGTAGCTTCGTAAAACTTTCTCCGTAAAGCTTTCTCATCGTACATATACAATACATAGCTATAATATAAGCGATATCTGTCTGTTGTTGATAACATCTATCAACGTTAATTCGACGACGATTTACTGGAACGAACGTTTTTCCAATCGCAGTGAATATTATCGTGTCCATAACCCGAAAAGATTGCCAAGTATGGAAATTCAAAATTGTACTGTTTCTTTCAAAAGCGAAGAGTTCGTATGCTACTTCGAAAGTTGGAAATAGCAGAATTTCAGACGATCAACTAGATCGGTAACCGTGTTAGACTTTAGCCCGATACTGTTCGATTCGATTGTTCGTTTTCTCTGGAAAATCTGGATGGAAAATAAGGACAGACGACAGAGCTGTGTTAATCTTCTTGCAGTCGGTGCCTGGAAGGAAATTCGCTCGCAATATGGCTGATACGATTGGTGGAACGTGAATGTGCTAATTCGAAATGACCGCGTTCAAAGATCAAATTCAGATGCCGGATGGTCCTGGCGAATCCTTTCATCGGCTATTTCATTCGAATTGCCGCGATCTCTCGCTAGTTTTGCAGAGATTCAACTCGTCCGCCGAGATTCTCGCCACGATTATTCCAGCAACGTCTAACATACTGTGACACGTTTCGTCCGGACAAAAGAAACAGTTTTTTTTTTATTATTTAATTTGTACTTTACAATTTGTCCAGCTGGACATTTGATAAATTTTTTTAACTTAATTGCTAAATAATATGTGGATAACCAGCCCCAGCGGGATAGCATCTTCGAGCTTGACTATTTTATTTCTTTAGTGAGACTAGTAGTGTGTTTTCTTTTTAGTCTTCTTTCTATGAGAGTTTTGCTGGCTTCAGCAACCAGCTGGTTTGGATGTGTTGCCGTTCTTTCCTTATATTTTTCCGCGTATCTGTCGGTTTCTTCTTGACCGTTGGTATTTTTAAGTCTTTGCGTATATCCTCGGTTCTGACATACCATAGGACGTTGACTATTGTTCTTAGTATCTTCGATTGTAGCGCCTCTAGTTTATTTATGTGGCTCATTGCTGCTGTCCCCGATAGTGGCATTCCGTACGTCCAAATTGGTTTTACTATCGTTTTCTACATTTTTAGTTTATTTTCTATGCTGAGTTAGGAGTCTCGATTAGTTGGTCAGTACATTTTATCCGTATTTTGTCTATAATTGATTTAGTATGTTGTTTTCGTGTAAGTTGTGTGTCTAAGTGGAGTCCTAGGTATTTAACTTACCTTGTTTGTGTTATGTGCGTGCCATTCAATTGAATATTTGGTAGTTTCCGTTTTCTTAGTAAAAAGAAACAGTGCAACCGCCGTAACCAGATTCGAATTTATTTCTCAACGCTCTACGAGCGGCAAATTACCTTGCAAGATGAGATCTCGTACGATTTGCGTATCCGTTTCAAGGCGACACGAAGGAGACGCAGCCTTCTAAATTCCAAAGAGATCAGGAAGATCCCGCCACGTTTGATTTCATCGCTTTAATATCATCCACCAACGATATCTTGCCTCCTTTTTACAGGCTGCACATTTCTCACGTCTCGTTCTTTATCGCTTTGTTTCAATCTCGTTCCTCCTTTAATTAATTTCTCTGCCTTGTTGAATCTCAACGTCGCGTTTTTCAACGCATAAATCTAAATGAAAGGCAGAGCCATTGACAAAAGATGGAACTCGTGCCACAGTTAACCGCCACACGCATCGCGAAGCAAATCTCCAACAATTAATCGGTCTTTGAGATCGTGACGCGCTAAGGATTGGAAAAGCCGAACTGGAAACAGATATGGAAGCTTCCTCGCGGTAGTCGCGTTTCATTAGCTACGATCTTGAAATTAATTTCCAGGGCTGCTTTTCTCGGCCGAACGTCTTTCTCTTTTTTTCTTTTGCTTTTGAAAGCACCCGAGAAGCGTCGAGTGTAAAAAGAAAAGTGACAAATAGGATCTCGAATCTGTTAGAAACCAGCTTTCAAATGTTTTTTCATCCGATATAGCATGTGCTTGAAGACACAGATAGGTCTATGAGGTTGGCAACTAAGTGATTGCGAATTTTGTCATTGAGTGGTATTGACAAAATCCGCAATCATTTAGTTGCCAACCAAATATAATGATTATGCTCCGATGACTCGAAGTACTTTGCTGTTCTTCCTTTCTCGCAAAGTAACTTGTACCTACTTATTTATCCTGGTTTGTTGGAAATTACGCTGAAATTGATCCTTAACGAATCTGCTGCATTTTTATCTCGAATTTATCACGGACACCGTCTTTCCTTTGTTCGTTCCTTCGCCGTTTCTTTGGATTAACGCTTGTACGAACTGGCGAGAACTGTGCGCGTCTCATTTATTTTTGAAAATAAACTCGTTTTATCTTTAGACCAGGAAGAAGTTTCTAATCGTTCGAACAACTTAAAAAAAATCTTCGACTCTTTACGTTAAGTTCGTGGTATTTCCGCTGTGCAAACGCGATGCAAATACCATCATCGGTAGGACGCACTTTTGCAATCATTTTATCACTGAAACGTCGCGTTCGTTTCGACGTTGCGTCCTCGATAATGTAAAGAGCCTAAGACGAAGTCGTAAATATTTGCTAAATGCATTTGGGACGTGGATGAAAGACAAATGTACGGTGACCAGTGGCGTGGCGTCGTCCAAGGAAAGCATTTCCACTTTTAAAACTACCACATACGTTTGCCCAAGTTTCAACGTTCCAGAAATCCTTTCGATATCTACTCGCGATTCCAACGACCGACGCCGTACAAAGAGCACTAAAAAACGTAGAGACAATCTCTAGATCACGATGATCATGGCGCACAGTACACAGTATAGTAAACTGCTGTTTCGCTAATATATGACGTGCAAGGATGTTGAGAGAGAAAGGAGAAGTAGCTAGCGATATACCGAAGCTTTCAAGGCGAATACTACGAACGTTGGTTTATCGTGGTCGAAGGAATTTACGAGAAATTTCTTCAATTTGATCGGATTAAAATCAAGTAACGCGCGTTTCGTATTACGACCCGCGCACATTTCGCTACTACAAACGAACACGTGTGGTGTTCAGAACACAGAACGAGATTTATTTGGGAAAATACGTGCACGTTACTAAACCTCCCCTTTTCGTCCAGTCAAATTGAATAAACGTTGCGGTTGAATTGAATAAACGTACGAGATGTCGATTATTACATAGGTTTTGCGTTTCGATAAATCCTCGAAAGGGACAGGAATGTATAATGCAGGGTCGGCATTAAGTCACACAGCTGTTGGCTAGACGCAGAAGAAGCGAGATTTGTGGAGAAAACTCGTAAGAATTCGTTAGAGTTTCGGTAGGCATGTTGCACGTGGCTGCAAACTTTCTTTCCTTACTTTCCACAGTGTATCAATTTTTAGCGGCTGACCTCTATAATCGATCAAAGTTGTCGACTCGTTGCAACGTAATTAAGTAACGTGGATATTTCGCCTTTAAATCGAGAGAAATCTTACCGAGAGTATGAGAAACATTACGACCAAGTGGTCGCGTCGCGAAACTAATCAAAATGTAATTCATTCGGTCGTGGCGTCTCCGACAAAATCAAAGCAGAGCCATAACCAATGGAAAAGAGGTACGCGCGTCTTACGATATTTCCACATTTGTACAAATTGTTTCTCACGCCATTTCGAGATAGACAAACGTCCGCGATACTACGGTAATAACTTAACGCTTTGACTGTCACGTTGATCATATATGACCGGCCACGGTTTCTCCTGTGACGCCACGGTGGTCATTGGTGACCGGAGCGCTTCAACTTCTTACAATTGTAAAAATTGAATGAAAATTGACAGTTAGGGCATTTTGTATATAACCGATAAATAGAATATACTTTGAAATAAAAAGTGTCCCATTGAACAATGTTATATTTTTATTAGAACGTCAATAAAAAAAAATGAGAACAAATGTTGCACCTAACGGTGCACTGTGTTGAAACACTTTAAACATAAACGTGGCTCGGCAATACAATCTGGACGATAGGTGGTCACCTTTTCGTCCGATTCTTAGCAATTTTTCATCCTAACTGTTTAATATTTTTTTTACACCACTCTCTGCAAAATTTTCGTGCCAGGTACGCTTGCCCTTCTTTCTTCTGCGTTTCGTGTCGCCATCTTTGTCGAATAAGTATATTCGACGGCTCTGGTGAACGGCACTGTGTAAGATGCATTGCGAGTGCCATTCTAAAACCTGATACCTTGATTTTTTTTTTTTTCTTGCTTGTTTATAGAGAATCATCGCGTTTGAAATTGATATATTTAACAATAACTCTAAAGCTAATTTTATATACCACTCTAGGATTCTTCTATGTGGTGTAGAATATGTTATTATTCGATCTAATAAACCTACAGCACATTTTCCTCTGTTGTAATCTACCACCACCATTGGTTTATCACAAATATAATTTTTTCCGGGCCTCTATTATCTCAGCCGAATGTTTCGTCGAAATCATAAAAACAATCATAATACTGTTTACTAATATCTTCTACAATATATTCTGCACGTTTTGCTTACGACGAAATAACGAATGCGAATGGTGTTATGACCGTTCGCGGAGAGACGCGATCGCGAGGAAACGAGAGGCGTAAATTCTCGCTACGATTCTGATAATCGATCGCCGCGAATCAGTCGTTCCCCTGTTTCGATTAGGATAACAGAGGTAGTTCAAATGATTGTAACACTGAATTAACAGGATTAATATAGTCTTGTATTTTTAACAATATTTAAAATTAGAATTAACACGTTACAAATGATTTAACGATGATACCAATTAGTTTGTTATTATAATCCGACTCGACTTTATGATATTCCTCGACCTTGATTTTATTCCTCTGAACCTCTCGATACATTCGGTTTGAATCCTCAAATGATACTGACTGCCCTTTGATTTTTTCCTTTGTCTCTCTGCGAGACGAGCCCCACCGCGTTCGGCTCTTGCAACCGTTCGCGCCTATGATCACGTATGTCATCTTCTTTGTGTAGATAAAATAACGGACCGAAGGCGTATCGATGTTTCTAGAACTCACTGCTTGACGTCAACTATGTGTTTATCGCTACTTTGTGTATATCTCGACGGCCATGTAAGACGATCTGTCTGCGACTATGTAGTACCAAGGGAGACGTTTGGGAACACGGCCTATAGTGAGCCTCCGGGCGTAACAAATGGTTTGTTGAATTAAACGAAGCCTTGTTATAATATGTCACTATCAACAGTTATCAAGGCGCTACCCGTGACCACAAATAATATAAACGGTCCATTGGGGAAAAATGTTATCTTACATGATCAATTTATTTTGCCATTATATGCTTTGAATAATAAAAATACTCCCGTGTCATGCTGAGCGAAACATGTGATTTTGGCGTGGCAGTCAAAATGTTAACCGTGGATAACAATCTATGGAACACGCATGATCGATGACAGTCGGTTGGTAAGAAAAGCCATGTATTTTACTTTCTCGAAAATTCGTCTATTACGTTACGTATACGTCGTACGTTACGTTACATTACGTTACGTTCCTCTTCCAGACAGCTTTATTTTTCCACGTCGTATAATACCGCTATTATCGTCCACTTACCACACTTTTTCTCTTCTGCTCTTCCCTCGGTTAACGATCGTGCGAGATCGGCTCAAAGGAAACATTACCCAACACAGCGGTCGAACGAACTTTCATCGGAATCCCTCTGAAAATTGCGCATTCACCAGGGAAAAACGTATCGATGTCACGGAGATTATTAATGCGGTGCTCGTATATTCGGTTCGATAGAAGCGATTAGATTTCAGGGCATTGGTAAATAAATTATTAGGGTAATTTTACGAACCTAGGGAATGGAGCAAGTGGAGGAGATGCGAGCGTTTACGGTGGTGTAAAGAGAGAAGCGGAGATCTTGTACAAACGAGAATCTTTATGAAATCTACGAAAGACGTAAAGTTACGGTTGCCTCGTTGCTTTTCATATTTTATCTTTCTAACTCTTTCTGCCGTCACGATACATCTCGCGCTTCGCTCGGCTCCTTAGAATCGTTTCTCGCGGAAAATCTCCGCGTTGCAAGGAAAGTTTGTCGACTTACTTGCGTAAACATACTCGTGAAATATTTTTATAACGCGTTGCTCTCTGCATCCGAATCGAACGATCGTACACGCGAACAGATACCAAAATTCCCGCCATGTAGAAATATCTTCAAGTGTAAAGAAAGAACAGCAATAGCGGCGCACGTCCTCGTACAATATACATTTAACTATTTTCCCACAGTTCGTTTAACCCTTTGCACTCGAGGACTTTTTCGGCTGGACGTAGCGGCTACTCCGGGTGATTCAGCGTATACGCGACGCGTGTCTTACAGCTACTGTGAAATGCTTTTATATGCAAATTAACTTACCAAAACTTCATATTCTAATAATTTATCTATATCTACATCTTTGAAAATAGAATTTTGCAATATTAATTTCTGTATTTTTACTGTAAAATAATTTATAAAACACTCACCAAGATACATTCTTGAATATAATTGATCTCATTTTTCAACAGTTTAGAATTAAGTTCTTCTTCGTTTCAGCTAATTTCACTTGCGAAAATCATTTTCTTAGGGTTTCTAAACTATAACACTTTTGCCGTGATCGTCGAATCCGAACTAACGTTGAAGACATTTTAACACTTTGCCAACCGAATAGAGAGATCTCCCTTTTTGACTTTAGCAACGCGTTTTCTTTTCCGTTGTTATTATCAGTTATTGTTTACCTGGAATTGTTGTCAAATAATTGCACTTTTTCTGCATTTATAAAGTACAGTATATAATAAAATACACCAATTTAGTGGTGTTAAAAATAATGAAAAAGTTACACTATAAATAAAGTTATAATCGAATGATACAACACTGTAAAAAAATATTAAAATACGCTATGAATTTTGAATTTCACGTTCAAGTCGCGTTACGTATCTTCAGTCATCTTTAACCCTTTGCACTCCCATGTCGAGTGCGACTCGACATCAGTTTTTATCTCAGGAGCTCCTTTGTCGAGTCCCACTCGACATTCTTTCATGTCCAGCTTTTTTAGTGAAACGTGCGAAAGAAAAGCAGGACTGCATCCTGGAAATTGTTTCAAGATATATCATACATTTAAAAATTACAAAATACAACAATAGTGTGAATAAAACTAGTATTTAAATGAATTTCTCTCTTCCTTTATTTATTCAAATTGTCTTATTTTTTAGTTCAAGTAAATTTCAAATAAAACACTTAAAAGCGTTGGGAAAAGCTGCTGGTAACGAAATTGAAATAAAATTCGGAGTGCAAAGGGTTAGCATTTTTAATTTTACCTATATGTCTTTACACTTTTAATTTGATGTTTCGTACAAACAATATATGAAATCGTTAAATAAAATCATTACCGCAAATATAATTAACCACTTAAACAATTTCTAGATTTCTCTGTTTTTTCGAGTAGCGAATATTAGTCCTCGATATTTGAAAAATTGCGCGGTGGAGACGTATAGCTCGCTGTGTTATGTTAAAGTTAAAGTCTAACACTTTACACTTCCTAACAAAGAACACAAAGAGCGGAGGAACCAATTTACGAACCGATGTTGCACTCTTATCAATTGGACATATCAAAATCTAACATAAAAAGAGAGAGTCGCCTCTCGAGTGCGAAGAGTTCAAACTTGAAATTGATAGCGCGCGGATCGCAGGATGACGGACGTAGCTCCTTGTAAACCTAAACCGCTGCAAACGTACAATTGCCAGTCGAGATACGAAGCCACCGGTTCTTTTATTATATCCGTTTGCATGTGGTGTGGTCGTTTCTTCTCCCTTTTCTATTACGTCGTTACCCGTTTTCACGAACGCCACTCGTGACGATCTTTTTGCCGCGGCAGGGAACCACCGTCAGACCTTTTCCGGCATCTCATTCCATCACCGTTGGTTCGCTCTTCCCCTCGTTTCCGATTAAGTTGGTGAGAAAATAGACGTTCCACCTAATAAAACAGGAAATATCCCACTGTACAACGATTCTTTGTTTTTAGGTGAGAAGATGAGAGAATTCGCCGGCGGATAGAAAATGGCTGCGTATAAGTTGTCCGGAAGAGCACGTTCGGATTCCTCGGTGAAATAAAGAAGAGAGAGAGTTATCGTAGGTGCGAGCAGTGACTAATCACGCGTCCGGATTCCTCCAATGTCCGAGTGCTTATTCGTAATGAATCGCGAGTCACCGTTGCACCTGTTGCATCGCCAACTATTTTCTACGTAATCCAGTTGCACGATAGTTGGCTTGAGATTTGCGAACCCGCAGGAGAACACCCGATGAGACACACGGAAGCCGCGACCAAGCCGGCTAACACGTGCAACGCTCGATGTTCGACGTATAGATTCACCAGATGTAAGATGAAATGAACGATTTGGTTCGAAGTTGGGGCAGCTGTAAATGCGAGAAACAGCGAGGAAAAGAGTGCGTGGCAGAGAGGGGCAGAAGCAAAATGATGGATACAGTGAACGTAACAGGCGCGGGGACACGAATATGCCTAGTGGAAGATTTCGAAGTATCGGAGGATCCTCGAACTCCGTCTTTGAGACGAATCAGCTACGGCATTATCCTGCCTACCATCTGTTGCTTTGGAATCGTCGGCAATATTTTAAACTTGGTAGTGCTTACCAGGCGCAATATGCGAGGAACCGCTTACATCTACATGAGAGGTAAGTCGTTCTCCGTGGACGCTCTAACGCTTTGTATTTACGTTTTTACGGCACGTGTTGGCGTGCAAGAGAAGAAACAAAAAAAAAAAAAAGAAAAAGACAGAAGGTGATTTATACTTTTGCACGAACGTTTCGAGGAATAATGTGTAAGAGGAGTGTAATTATCGTGGATCGTGACCAAGTTTCAACAGGATAAAGAAAAAGCGCAGAGAAGTAAGATCATTAGCGAACCGAGACGCGATATCTTGAAATAAAGTTATTCCATGTTTACGTAATATTGGGGCGAAAGGTACGGCCACGTCGATCTTCGAACGCCTCGTCGACGGCAACCATTCGTACACGAGCGTCACTGTTAAACGAGATCTACGATTTACCTTCTATCCAATATCTTCCGTTGCTCGAGTTTTATCGTAAAGAAACACGTGGCCCGAACATTTGGCGAAATAAATACGATTACCTAATTAAATAACGAAATAACTCGTGGACGTTTAACTAGCTTGATAAAGGACGCCAGACCTTTGCCAAGTGGAACGCCCGGCTTTATCATCTTGATACTAGGCCAAAATAACAGCGACTGTGATAATTCCCGAACAACTTGTAAACTAAATTCTTCGTCGGACATTCGTTTAGCAATTGGCGCGCGATAGAAAACAAGGGAGAAATAGAGCAGAGACAGACTCGCGCACGATTTTCCTACAGTAATTTCATTAATTTTTCTCGTTACAGGCTACAGCTGTAGATAAGAGACCGACTGTCGCGACGTTCTCTCGGAGGAATCCCGCAAAGGGGAATCATAATCGTTTGTTTTATCGGAGACTTTGTGCTGTGACCTATGACTGTGCGACCTGATGCCATTGTGACTCATCGGCCACACAGGTCGTCATTTTTCAAGAAATGTCCTATTTCGTTCGGCGACGCTTCGCAAGATCTGTTTATCGTTTCTCGTTATATTCGCCGGCCGTCTTAGGGCTATCGTTCGCTTCGTAAAGCTAAAATCATGTTTGCGTTAGTAGCTTATCGACTGGATCCAGCCTCGGTCGTTAAGTTTCTTGCTAAAATTTATTCACGACCGTATCTCGAATCGACGATAGAAGTGGAACAAGTCGTTGGTCGTCGTGTAAGTTCGTCTACAGAAAGAATTTCGTATCGAAGGTTTCGGTGGTTTGCGACGTGTATCCTTCGAGTAGACGCTCGTTTCCGATCAGGCGAGGTCGATACATTAGGAGGAAATTACAGGACAATTCAATTTCGATATTTTCCTCGTTTCTCCGGCACTCTGTCCTTTCGGCCACGCTCGAATTCACCAAGCTCCGCGGGATACTTACCATTATACCCGGCAAGCCTCTTTCTTAATCTCTAGATATATAGTTGCGCGTATATTTGCGAAATACATTGAGGTGGTTTATTAATACTTAACCCTTTGCACTCCCATGTCGAGTGTGACTCGACATCAGTTTTTACCTCAGGAGCTCCTTTGTCGATTCCCACTCGACATTCTTTCATGTGCACCTTTTTTTGTAAAACGTGCGAAAGAAAAGCAGGATTGCATCCTGGAAATTGTTTCAAGATATATCGTACATTTAAAAATTACAAAATACAACAATAGTGTGAATAAAACTGGTATTTAAGTGAATTTCTTTCTTCCTTTATTTATTTTGATTGTCTTATTTTTTAGTTAAAGTAAATTTCAAATAAAACACTTAAAAACGTTGGGAACTGCTGGCAACGAAATTGAAATAAAATTCGGAGTGCAGAGGGTTAACGGTCCGATTTTTAATTGTGAATATCGATCGGCAACTTCAACTTATTCTCATCATACTTGGACTTGCAAGTTTTTAGGCGTCAGATTTGAAATGCTACAATGACGTAAATAATGACATTAAAGTTATTGAAAACAATCTTTACACATCTGAGAAGTAATATAATTTTCATTACAATATTTATATTAATTATAATTGAGTAATTTGTGGAATTTTTTAAAACATTCATCGGGATGCAAACCGGGTTTGCGTTTGTAGGTCTCACAGTAGAAAACTGTTTGTTTTTTTACCGCGTTACTTGCTTTTGGTAAACAAACAAGACACTTTTTCTTTCTCCCTTTCGGCATTAGTAAAAAATAATTGAAAGTACTGAATAGGTTCGCATAAGTTGTGTACCCGCGGACCAGCAGTTTTTCTACCAGTCGAAAATTCATATCGTTGTGGAATGATATCTTCGTTAAAAATTTCCTGCCAATCAGAAGATCTTACGTTGCAAATACTTCTGCTTAGATTTTCTTCCTGTGGTTCTCCATCATCTGCACTTTCCTCGCTCGATGAAAGTTTTCTTATTTTTCTTCTTCTTCCAGCAACAAGAATATCACTATCACTGCTCTCGCTATAACTGCTATCCAAGTCAACAGCTACATCGTTATAGATACGAAAATCAAAATTGTCATCGTCACTATCTACGTTTTCCTCACACAGATAATTCATTTTTCTTCTCGACATAATTCAAATAGATGGGTTTACGATAAAACAGGTTCAGATCTGACTGTCTTTACTGATCGCTTGTAACTCACTGAGGAGTATTATTTTTTATTTGTAAACAATTATCGATAACGACCCAAAAATACATTTGGAGTAGAGCACCGCACATCGATGGTGCTCGAGAGGCACACTTGGAGCGTTAAGTGTTAAACGTTTTGGTGTATTTAACAAAGAGACGAGTGATAAATTGCAATAGCCAATTATATCAAAATCACTATAAGTACAAGTACAGAGGCAGTGTATGCCGCTTGAAACTCCTACAACAATTCAACTCTTCTACTCTTTAACTACTCGACTATTCCACTGTCCTAGGCAGCGCGTTCGTGTGTTTATATTTGTTGAGGTTAACTGATAGAGAAACGAGAGGATGAATTTGTATTAGGTTGTCCGAAAAAGTTTCTTTCGTTTCATAAGGTGATAATAGATGAACAACAATTTCTGTTTTATATTATTTTATTTCGTTATATTTTTATTATTATGTTCGTGCACAATTCAATAAACTAATATAAAACAAAAGATATCGTACGTGTATTATCTCCTTACAAAAGGAAAGAAACTTTTCGGACAACCTAATAATAGAAAAATATATCGAAAGAAGTATAAGTATAGTGTATGATGATCCAGATCCTCGCTCTTACAGTGTTACAATACAATAGAGGAAGAGGCACCAAGAAGAGGTTGATTGGCACCACGTTCATATATTTATAGCAAAGAACATTGCCAAAAAGTTAATCTTGTAGTTCTAGCTGAAGGTTGTAAGAAACAGTGATAGAAATCTACTTATAGCTCTTTTGTTTCTAGACCTTGTAATCCAAAACAAAATTTATATTTAACAGCACAATAATATGGACCTCTCCCTATTTTCAACTTTTTGTTTCACTAAATTCTATTCTCTTCGTAACAGTGGTCTCCATGTGACGGATATACAAAATAAAAGGTGTAGAGTTTTTCTTGAAGTAATTATTAGGTTGGCAACTAAATAATTGGGGATTTTGTCATTAGGTGGTATTGACAAAATCCGCTAACCTAAAACTTCAACAATATCGACAGGTGTTATTATAAAAAGTTCGAATGCAACTTCGGTTGACGATTATAAATAACGGCAAGAATATTTTGTCCGCAGTTTTCCTTTAGACCTAGTAAACCGAAACAACGTTGATATTCCGAGCTACAACAATATCAGTCTCTCCAGATTCAAACCTTCTGTTGACTCATGTACCGCTGCGATATTACCAACGATTTGGTACGCGATCGAACGGAATATCTTCGAATACATAGTAAGAAGATATGCGCGTAGTATCAGAAGGGTAACCGTGGCAAGTTTACGTTTTGCTTTTGGACGTTGACGGATCATTAATTTGCGTCATGTTTACGGAAAGTCGAGCAAACGAGCGTTCGCGACGGATCAATTACCGTGGCTGTATGAAAGCGCGTCCACCTGCAATTCCTCCAATTTACGCTACTCGGAAAATTTGTACAGTGAACGTAGCTTTTGCAAGTTTAATCACCCGATCGAACTTGAATCTAATACCGCGACGAGAAGCGTGTTTAGCTGCCACTAGAACTTTAGGCACCGCGAGAAATTATCTTGCTTGTTCCTCGAGAACACGTGCAAATCAGCCGGAAATCGAGTAAATCAGCAAGAGAGGACCTCCAATCAGATGCGCGACATCGACACCCGGTGGGAGGAATGTCTGCTGCGCTGCTTCCGGATGCGAAAAATTCTATCGAGATTCCTTCGAGGTTTACTCGGTTTCCTCGAGACGTTGAAACTGCGCGCATCGCTTTAACCCAACTGCGAAAAGTAGCAAAGTAGAAAAGAAGAGCCGCGCGTCCAGCGTCCTCGATTTATAGCTTTCGCTACCGTTCCATTTCGAAAAAAGCTGCTCTCTCGTTCTATTCTTCATCACCAATGTCTATTTTCTTACTTGATTTCTGCTTCCCTAGCTTCCAAGTTTCGATAACCAGATGCGGTTAACGAGCGGTTACCTTCGGTTTTCTCTCCCTTTTCTCGTCGCTAAACGATTACGCCCTTGCTGTTCGTAATCGCCTTCTCAGCCTCCCGGTTTCTCATTTATCATTTTTTCCTTGTGCGCATTCATTTTTCATATTCTACTTGTTTCCTCGTCTCCGTCCCCTTTCGCGAGTATCTTTCCTTTCCTCGTCCTGTCCACCTTGTCTTTTCGAAGCTTCGTGGCGGTTTGATCGATCCATCGGCATCCATCGACAAGTTTGCTTCGATCCGTCTTTCCGTTAAGGCGACTAAATCGTTGACTGATTTGTCCGCGAAAAGAACGACCTCACGTTCCACGTCTACCTTCGTCGGGCGCGAGTAATCAACGCGAAACTGCTCGCAAACGTTTTTTTCTTCTCTTCTCTTCTTATTCTCGTTAAGTCGGAGGATATTGAAAAAAGCTTCTCTTTCGATTCGTTTGAAAGAGCAGAGAAAAGTTGGAAAGTATATCGACTGCATATTGCGATGCAGCGCGACGCGCGACCAGACGTGCGATTAAACGGTAGGAATCGGTTAAAGGGCAGAAAGGCAGAGGATGGAGCGAGCAAGAGATTGTGGAATGGGTGGCAGGTGAGAAGGAAAGAGGGAAAGGAAGGTGCGGCGGTGGCGGATGGCGCGCATCGCACCAACTCTCGCAAGTCTATCGATATGCACGATGTGGAACACGCGGTGGGTGAGATCGAGGATTAGGATGAGGTCGGACTAAAAGGACGTGCCTTTGAGCGTGGAAATATTGCGAATCCTAGGGTATTGGGGCGCAAGAATTTGTGCGTAAGGAAATGCAATTTGAGACGTGCTCGGAAACGACGAAAGCTACGGCCCAACGCCGTGTATACATATGTAAAACAGACTCGAATACATATCTAGATGGCATATTCGCGTGTACAAAGATACGCGTCCTACCTTCCACCAATCTTTATCCATCGCTCGACTGAATTTCTATCTGCAACGTTCGCCTCGCGACCATCTCGCGTCACTTCTCTGTTTCTGTTTCGCTATCTGTAACCGTATTTTAGGTTACTTCCTTTTACATTTAATTTCAATTTCTGTTAACCCTTTGCACTCGACTAGCAGCAACTCGAGGTGATTTTGCGCGTATGTGACGAGTGTCTTGTAGGTAATGTAAAATGATTTTATACAAAAATTAACTTAAAAAAAGTTATATATATATTATAGGATTCTTTTTTTTTATTTATTCTATATAATAAGTTTATTCATCGATAGATCTATTTACAATGGATTAGACAGGAAACGATGGTTACTTAACGTCAACTAAATACAGTAATGTGCTATAACTAAATAGTTAATTCACAACTCACAACTAATAGTTTACAACTCATAACAACTCGGCAACTCAACTCTCGACTCCTCACAACTCAACTTCTTACCACTCGACTTCCCGGTAAAACTGCCAGGCCTTTTTAGCCTAACGGCACTTTGGCCTTCCCGCAATATTGTTTATAATTCACCCGATATTTCTTCGGCCATTTGTCCACCATACTACAATATTTACATCTTTGAACATATCATTTTTTAATATTTTTTTGTACTTTTTTTACGATAATTTATAAAACATCTGGCAAGATGCATTCTTGGCTTGTCGGTACAAGTATCGCAATAATAAGTTGCTTCCTGTCTTTCTCCTGCTTTGTTTCGGTAAGAACACGCCTTAATCCTTTTTTCTTCCTGTTAAAATTACACGCAGCTTTCCATTTAATTTCGTATCGAATTTCATCGCAATTAGCAGTGGACGTCGAAGCTCGATCTTGCGGTTGTCGAATATCTCCGACTGGTCTACTTTTGAAAAAAAAGTTTTTATAAATCACAGGTGGTTAAGTGGCCTTTCGTTCTTTTGCTTTTTTACAGGATATATGAATTAATTAAACAAATTTCCAAATCCATTTTTTTGGAACTTCTAAATTTACGAAATTATAATACTTGTACCACGGTCGTCGAGTGTGAACAACGTTGCCAGAACCACAGTTTCGGAAGAATTTGAGCATAAATATTTCACCTGCATCTTAAACTGTAACGCTTCACACTTCATAACAAACAATATAAAGAGCTAAGGAATCTATTTATGAACCAATACTGCGCTCTCATAAACAGGGACTGTTGCCTCTCATTCTCCACTTGATTTATCACACGGTTACGACGTAGCGACTGAGAATCGTTTCTCGAGTGCAAAGGGTTAAATTCTTTTTCAATTTAATTAAATCGACGAGTTAAAAACCCTTTAGCGTACAAACTGCTTACGATCATAGGCGATGTGTGTTTCGATGCAAAGTGCGGATGACAGCGCCCAAAAGCGATACGTCGAAACAATCGAGATCTTCGCATAATTCTTCACTTGCGTATCTTATGATTATGTGATCTGTGCTGTAACAAAAGATTTGTTATAATAATAACAATATCAAGTTGTTCTATTCTTATCATTAAATAAACCGTCACACGTTTCGACGAATTCCTCGGACGTGAGTCTTTCAACGATAAAAATCCACGTACCTACATCATGCGCCGTTACGTTGTCGCAAAATCTCGGCAACTGCACTGTCGATCACAAATTATCGTTAATCGTGTTGGAAGTTCGTTTTCCACGATCCGGCTTTCAAAAGGACAGCTAAATTGCTTCCTTGGCCATTCTACCCGAACACCTGTATATCAGAGCGATAGATCGAGTTAGCGTCTGCGACAGAGAAAAAGTTGTACGCTGGCTGTATGCAGCCTGCGCGATTTCATCGAAAGAGAATCGAAATGGGAAACGGGCTTCGGTTTTATGCAAATTAGACTAACTCGTAGATAATCTCGGTTATACGGGACGGCGCGATCTTCGATTTCGATTTCGATTGCGACTCTTCGCGCGATATATAGAAAGCGGTCGTATTGAGAATTGCGAACCACTGGCGGATCGAATTCTCAGTCAACGTTTTTATCGCTGCACGTTCTACCAACACGATAAATCAGACGAAGATTATTCCATCGTCACTTTGTTTCGAACGCTAGCCTCCTCAAACATGTCACTGCTTCGTCATCACACCTGTCGCCGACACCATTAGCCACCATTACGAAACTATCGACAACTTGCTCTTAATTTAAAAGGTCGACCAGGTATTATGGCATCGCTCGGTGGACACAACTGTTCAATCATTTCGCCATCTACAGCGAAAGTAGGATAATAGTTAGGACTACAACTACCACACTAGTCAAATTGACTGGTTTTACGATTTTATTTTAAAATTCCTACTTCATATTATGTAATATAATGAATTTTATTTTGTTCTTCATGTACTCAAACTGAAAATAATTTTGTATCAAGGCTACTTATACCAATACCAAAAACGACTGGTACTTGTTAAAGTGTAAAAGGGTCCTGCAATCTGTTTATCGAAACCCAATTAACCAGTTTCCTCGTTTCGGATAACCTCTCACATGTTTTTATAATTTTTACTGCGTATCATTCAATATGATAATATCAGCTATCAGGAAAATTTCGGATTAATCGCTAGATGCTAACACTAGAAATACCACACCAGCCAAATTGACTGGTTCTACAATTTTATAAATGTGTCAACTCTCGTTTAGGGATCATGGTCCCAGATGGATTAATAATACCAAAAATATACTACATAATATGGAATTCCTTCTGTAAGAAAGTAATGACTCAATAAATATACAAATATTTTATTATTACGTATTTTTTAAAGACCAGCCATTTTGATTGATTAATAGAAATTGCTTTGTGTTAACTATCGGTAGTTCTAATGTTAAAGGAATAGTCGAAACTTGGTCAAAGTTCGAGCGC